ATACGTTTACATACATGTCGCAGTGTAAACGTGAATTCGGTGTCAGTAACAATCAACAGAAAGACAAAGAAGGATACTGAACTGTAGATGTATCAGAATGATGCTATGAGGAGCTGCAATCACACTTGTGGACATGAACCCTTTTACAACCTGTAGACACCCAGCTGTACATGTACACACACACGTTAAGGAGAGACTCTACAGGCAACAACATTGTTTTCATGCACACTCAATTTTGAGAATTTGGTCTAGTTTTAGAAATTCTATAACTAAAAACATGGTGAAATTATGTTTTATTCATGGCTATCGACAGTATCTTCAGATTTATGGATTGATACAAAAGATATCTAATATTCCATCTGTAAAAACCTTTGACTCGAAAACAAGCGCTGTGAACTTGGCTTTATCCAGTGTTCACATTTATGTTCTGTAAATTAGCAAGTTTATGCCTCACTCGCATATCCAAACATTGACTTTCAAAAAACCTTTAATACAAAAAGTAACTGTCTTAATGCGAGTAATCAACTGGGGAAGATTCATGGTGATATTTATTGGTTCAATGTTTTACCCTATTCAACTGTAGTGTCTCCTCTTATGCCCACATTCTGCAGGAAATGATGTGTTCCTGCAGAATCCAACAGTCACAGTTTGGACTCGTGTTATAAATGTGTGTGACGTGCGCCGACATGCATGTAATGGTCTGCCAACAGTCTTCCCTCTCAGGTAAATGCTTCTCTTAGTCTCATGTACAGTATCTACAAGGAAGGTCCAACAATAATGTGGCTGGATATCTTTGCATCGCAGCATAAAGACTGTTGCAGTGGCCGGTTGGGGTATTCTATTGTACATCTAGTCGTCTGGCCTGATCGCCTGTTACGAACAACAAATTATTACTGGTGAATTACAGTGTGGCCGTAAAGCTGGAGAGTGTGAGTGTGAGTGTGTGTGTGTTTGATTTGAGACCAATCAGCACTGCTCTCCTTCTTCTATCTGATGCACTCATTTTTCAAGCAGACATCTAAAAGGTGCAACATGTAGCATTCAACCAGTGTATAGCCTCAAACAGAAACGTATTGGGAGTCACGGGTCCAAAAGGAGTTAATACGTAGTAAAGCCTGTGTGTCATAGGAAATGTATTTTCTATCAAAATCATTTCTAAACTACACTTCGACACGCTTGACAGACATGACAGTAGCTTACTGGTGTGCACATGTATTACTGAAAGTTGTTTCTGTATCTGCTACTCTTCAATTTGATTTAAATGAATCCAATAGTTTTAAACAGTGCATGGCTTTAGTGTCCACTTCAAATATTATGATGCAAATATAAGTCTAATATTAAGAATTAAATGCAGAAATGGTCAAATATTGGTTCGGCTGGTCTGGCCACAACAAACTTTAGTCCACTGCAATGAGGGCATGTATTTGCAGTTTTCTTAAACGCATGAAAACAAGCTAAAAATAGATGACTCCTTCCCACTGTGTTTTCTGGTCAGTCAAGTTCAATGTCATGAACACAAATAATAAAGCAGCATAGCTTTTATGGCTGAGAAGACAAAGACGGAAAGGAGTGTAAATTAGCGAGCGTGTCCACTCGGGTGTCATGTTTCCATCACTGCCGATTGGAGCTGGAGCCGATAAATATCTTTGAGTACTGCAGAGACATTTGTCCTGGGGCTGAAGGCCGATTGTAACCTTTCCTACCGAGGACAAAAGCCAGATGTTGGTCTTTTGTCCAGTGGGAAAGGGGCTATTGACATTTCTTAACTTTTATTGGTGTATTCTGATTTAGTGAAGGGACTAGTTGGAAGCTAGCAAGTCAAAATTGCCAAAGGTTGTATAAATAGCTGGTGCAACCATAGAAATAGATGCAACCTGTGACAGGCCAGTGCTGCTGGGAACCATTAATGATTACATTGAGTGTCCCTAACACAAAAACGGGTTATAGCATGCTAACATGCTAATGATTATCATGTAAACGGTAGTATTTTAGAATCCAAAGGTTAGCATTAAAGTACAGCTGAAGCAATCTCATGTCAGAGACATATTTCACTCTTGGCCCAGGTGTTGGACAGACAAACTGGGCCTAGGCCCTCCTAACTCATTGCAGTACAGTCTAAGTGAGCTATGGGATTCAGATGAAATGCTACACATAGCACCTTTTAGCATTAAGGAGGAGGTGGTCTTTCCTTCTTGGTGTTATCTGATTGTCTGTTGGCTTAATATTTCACTCTTTATCTCTTACATTCTTGTATATCATCTCTGCTTGTTTCTTTCTCCCCTCACCTCACCCGTACACACCCAATCCTCTGCATCCTATTCCAACAGTCCTTTAGATGGTCTCTTTCTTCTCTCCCCCCACAGTCCGCCCATCCTCTCGTTCTTCCATCACTCCCAGAAGATGTTGGTGATGTCAGAGTCCAGGCTGAAGATCCAGATCAGTAGCGGAGCAGAGATCAGAACGAACGACCAGGACACGCCCTTCAGTGACTGGTGCAGCCTTCTCATCATGGCCCCGACCAATCCCGTGCTAGCCCCCATCTGCCGCTGCTCCTCTTCCTCTTCCAGAGTCTTTTGAGAGATGGATTGGAACAGAGGAAAGAGTTAGGCACAGACCACTTTGAGATACGAATACCACGGCTGCACATCAAAGGGTAACTTTGGTATTGTTCACGTGGACAATTATTATGTTTTTGTGTCTCAGTGACTGATGATGACAACAGCTCTTGAAACTGTTCCAGTATTGAGCAACAGTGCTGCAGTCACCGGCCTGCAAAGGCACTTACATGCTGTCAATGTAAGATTACGTCTACTACACGTTCTGGTCTTTGCCACTGACAGACTCAGGTTGTTATTAGAAGTGTCAACATTATAGAAGAGAGCATACAGAGGAGGAGACGGGAAATCTCGTTCTGAAGTCTCGTGAGAGGTAACTTGTTGCCGGAAGATGTCAGTGAGAGCTGGAGAGAGGAGAGCCAGTGTTGTCAGAGTTTGATATGTTTGAGTACAGAAAGCGTAGCTTAGTGATCTGAGCCGGTCAGCGGCAACAACAAGCACGTTTAGTAAACGTAGCGTTACATTGTCGCTGCACAATTGCCCTCAAAGTTACAACTCTCTCGCTGGATACTGGACCAGTTACACAAACTCTTGTCTTCATCAGTCAGTTAGAGACAAAAACATGAAAGAATAGGGTCCAGGTTAAATACTACCGAAGTTCCCCTTTAACTGAAGCACTGTCAGGGCATGTCTTCTGACCTGGATCTGGCTTCCTGGCTCAATGAAGTTGCGGGCCAGGAACTTCAGAGCCTCGTCCATGAAGATGACAGGAAGTGACATCTTCAACACCACCACCCATTGAGGCCACGACAGAGGGCGTATCTGGAAAACCATCTGCAGACGGAGAGAATGGAGGATATTTCAGCCCTGGGTCGATAAGAGGTGTCAGCGAACAGATGTATGACTCGTGCATGCACCACTTACCGGCAGGGGGTCGACATATAGAATGAGGAAGTGTAGAGCCATGGACAGACAGATGGCCCCCACCAGCCAGGGGTTTGACCAGGGAGGCATTTTCACCAGGGACTGGTTCTCTGACAGACTGGACAGCACAGCAACAGAAGAAAGACATTCTGTTTGCTCTGTGACTTTTCACATTACAAACATCTGTATCCTGGATCTACGGCCTTCAAACGCCAAACCAGAGCATACAGGGGGAATATATCACAATGACACGGGGTTGTTTCATAACATGACAGGACATGAGCTTTAGTGTGTGGGTGTGTTTGGTTTATTCTTACCTGTTCAAGGCGTTGCACATCTCTATGGTAACCAGGACAGACAGGGCCATAGTCATTGGATAAGGAGACTCAAAGACTGAACACTGCACACCAGCAAACTCAACGTGGCCGTCCCTGCACTGAAGGTAGTGGGACTGTGGAGGAAACAAATGTGAAAATGACATTCTTCCTACTTACCTGGCATCCTTTTGTGCAGTGATTATCCTACAAGTGCACATCTCCTAAACAGAGTCTGACCGATACATGGCCAATATGATCAGCTCTATCACAATCAGCATAGTAACAAGAAATTACAAAAGTATTGAGTTTGAGGGGATTCTCCATCGGAGAGATACTTCTTTAATGCTCAGCACGTATCTTGGTCACACGCTCTTCAAACCACATTTCAGCATTGGCCTCCCCCAACTGTTGTGTAGCCTTTAAAGGGATAATTCAAACCCAAAAGGACCATTTGTACATCAATGACTCACCCCTTTTACATTGAATTCTTGAAGAAAACGTAGCTTTTCTCTCACGCCACCACGGTAAACGAAGAATAAAATATTTCTTTAAGCCTGAATAAACACCAACACGCTCCATAGAGCTGAGGGCAGACTTTTACATTTTATACTCTTATATGAATTTATTCTGTCTTTTAAAATCATTTTACTTTATTACTACTTACTATACTTTATTCTCCTCGTGCCTGACTACTCAGGTATTGAAGCGACACAGGAATTGAAAATATTACACACAGAGCAGCTGAAACTCGGGTCATAAACCATTAGGTCTGTAGTTTTTAACCTATTCTAAATAAGCAGTTGTCAATATTATCAATAACAAATATAAGCTGTTTTTAATTGTTTGTATCTTCTACCTACAGTTGATAGTTGGAGATCATGGAGCTACACTCTTTTTGACCGTGTAATGTGATGGTTTTGATTACCATGTAATAACATGTTCATGGTCACAAGAAGGTTTCAACTGCTCACCCCTTTTGTGTTATCACCACAGTGGACCCATTCAACTACACTATGTCTGAAAGAAGTGATGGGGAGATACTGCGTGTGTTTACCAGTTGATAGAAGGAAAGCTTCGGTCCGTCGTGGGCTGCCATGAACCACCAGGCAGCAGCTCCGACAGTCGCAGCGCCCACATAACCTGCACATAAGGGTGGTAAGTAGCGGTTTGGTTTGTAACCTGTAGGTAAGATGCTGTGATGATGATATCTGCAGATTGATTTTTGTGTATGTGGTGGTGATTGATGAGGCCATTCTGTTCCAGGCTCACGACTCACATCCGACGATGAGGTAGCGGCAGAACAACCAGCTGGAGATCAAAGGCTCTTTGGGGGAGCGTGGGGGGCGGGACATGATGTCCAGATCTGGAGGGTTGAAGCCCAGAGCCGTTGCTGGGAAACCGTCGGTGACGAGGTTGACCCATAGCAGTTGGACTGGGATCAGTGCTTCAGGCATGCCCAATGCGGCTGTCAGGAAAATACTGAGGAGGAGGGAAGGACAGATGGAAGAGAAGGTAACAGTGAGAGGCCCACATGATCCATAAACTGAATGTTAGTACACCACATTTTCGGCATCCACTTATACTAACCAGACCACCTCTCCTATGTTGGAGGAGATCAGGTATCTGATGAACTGTTTCATGTTGTTGTAAATGGCCCTGCCCTCCTCCACTGCAGCCACGATGGTGGAGAAGTTGTCATCAGCCAGGATCATCTCAGAGGCTGACTTTGCCACCGCTGTGCCGCTGCCCATAGCGATGCCGATCTCCGCCTTCTTTAATGCAGGCGCGTCGTTCACCCCGTCACCTGTCTGAGTCATGAGAGGGGGGATGAAGGAGGGCTGTTATACTGTTTATCAACGCGTCTATGATTCTACTTCAGGTACGAGAAGGTGCTCTCACCATGGCAGTGATGTCATCGAGGCTCTGCAGGTACTCCACAATGCGACTCTTGTGTGCCGGTTCCACCCGGGCAAAGCATCTTGCCGTCCTGCAGGCCTGACGCTGCAGGTGAGGCGGCAGCTCGTCAAACTCCCGCCCAGTCAGGCCCCCGATAACGCCCTCCTGCTCCTCTTCCTGCTCCGTGATGATGCCCACCCTCCGACAGATAGACAGGGCTGTCCCTTTGTTGTCACCTGGAGAGAAAAACGGAAAGTTACGAAGTGTTCGATTGACGCTCGTGAGGTGTGATTTATGATAAAGTTTACAAACGGTTAAAGACATCACATTTCAGTCTTGTAAATATAGTTTGGTGTATACCCAATGAAAACAGGAAGTTGGCTGAGAGGTAATAGATCATTCTTAAAACTGTAAATGCTCCCCTGAAAGCTTACCCCAGAAGTAACAAAGTTTTGAGCGTCTCTAAAACAGATAAATAACAATCAGCATTTCTAATGCTGCAATGAATGAATGATAAAAGAAACACATCAAATCTACAAAGTCCTGTCATCAGTCATTTGAAATGTGTGTGCTCTGCCCCGGTTAGTGCGGCTGACTTGATCTTTTGTCTATAATGTGCGTAACATGATTGATCTGTATGGTGAGAGTGTTTATTGTGTATGGCTAGTGATAGCAACAGTTAACCATTAATACCGAGAACATTTTGTGTACAGATTTTAGGGATACAAAGCACTTGAAGATACGCCAAGAAATGACATCACAAAAGGTAAAAAGCTGTGTTTTTGCACACATAACGTGTACATCTAGATGTGTGGTGATACCTGTGATCATGATGACTCTTATGCCAGCCTGCCGACACATTCGGACGGCGCTAAGCACCTCTTTCCTGGGGGGGTCCAACATGCCCACACAGCCCACAAAGGTCAGGTCGGTCTAGGCAGAGGAGACATGGAGGGAAGGCGTGGGGGACAAAAGTTCACTCATTTAGTTAGAGCCACTGGTGAAGACAAGAGGACAGTCGCTTGCTCCCATTCAGCAGACAAATAATGATTCTGTATCTTAACTTCCTTCTTTTAAAAGTGATACAGATACATTGTTTAGTTTCTTAAGAACATTTCATCATCATCACCTCATAGTCACCAAAGACAGCTGAGTTCTCCAGGTTGAGGCTTTTGATGTCAGGGGGCGTGTCCCTGGTTGCCATGGCGAGGCAACGCAGCATGTCTCGGCCCGATCCCCATTCCCTCACAGTGGACAGGATCTGCTCTCGAACCGCCGGGCTCAAAAGCACACGAGAAGAACCGCTGACCCGGATGTAATTACAGCGCTCCAACACGCTCTCTGGAGCACCCTGAGAGAGACGGGGAGGAAGAAGACACGTCTCTTTACTCCCCTAAATAGGCTGGAACAATACATCCTGAACACGTTTGGTGTTAAAGTAAACACGGTGCGTATCTTTGCCCTAAAGGAGTATTTAGATAAACACAAGAGGAATAATCCACACATTTTTCATGTTTTATTGATGCCTCTGAGACTTTTGATTGTATTAATCATGAAAAATGATTTATCAAATCATATCAAAGAGGGGTTCCTATGGGGTTTTCTGGTATGCTCACCAGACGATGCGAGTTCAATTTACATGGATTATCTATCATGCAGCTATGGATGTGGAACAGGGTGCATGGCTGGCAACTCTCATTAACCACCTTATTTATGCAGGCAATAGTGATATGTTCCTAATATGGTATAGATCAGGGGTCACTAATAGGCGGACCCAGATGCTGTCCTATCCGGAACCGGACGTATAACTGATGGATAATTGAGAATTATACATTTTGGCGGAGCGCTTCATTTTAACCTGCGCAGCTTTTCTAGCCTTTACAGCACTCGGTCAGCAGTCCAGGAAATACACCGACCAATTAAATGCATTGTAAATCATCTCACATGACGCTACTCAGCCAATCAAATACGTGTATTCTGAAATGCATCATGAGCCAAGTGATATTTGCATACAGACAGGGGAGAGACGAGACGGGAAGGGAGATGGGAGAGAGAACATACCCACTCTAATCTGAACTGAGGGTTAGGGTTAGGATGTAGAGATTGTTTATTATAAAGTTGACTGAGACCGTTGTGATGTGAAATAGATTGACTGAAATATTCAATATAATCTAATGAAAGAGGACATCTGACACATGACTAAAATGTTTGAGTTGTGGTCAAATAAAACTATATCAAAATTACTAAAATGTGACTGGAAATTGAATGCAGGCACTGGATAACTAGTGGTGTGGAACACACCTTGACAAACATCTTGGCTCCAGAGGAAGACCTGGTGAGTTTATTGGATGAACAGAAGACAGACATAGACTTCCTGTCTCTGGAAAACTCCAACGTCAACTCCTTCCTCATCAGCTGCTTAATCACCTGAAAACAAGCAGTAAAAAACAAATAGCACAATTCAGTGAGCTTTTTTGCCAGAACATACAGAAATTGCGCCAGCAATTTCTTTAACTTTACAGATCTCTCTCTCTCTCTCTCTCTCTCTCTCTCTCTCACACTCTCTCTCTCTCACTCTCTCTCTCTCTCTCACTCTCTCTCTCTCTCTCTCACTCTCTCTCACACTCTCACTCTCTCACTCTCTCACTCTCACTTACGGAGCAGCACGCTGTAGCTCTCTCAGCGGGGCTAATTCCTATCAGGTCAGTGTCGAACACGTTCATTTTCTCCACCAGACAGCAGAGAGCGGTCTCTGTTGCCTCCCCAACCTTCTCATACACACCCTTGGCCTGGAACATACAAACACACACAGAAGGGACAGAGGTTAAAGTATGCTGCTGATGATATTTGTGGGAACACACATTCAGTTGGGAATGTTCCGGCACCATATACGGTAAAATCTATCGAGCAGTCCTGTCTTACCTCATTGTAGTCCAGTGATGAGTCATTGCACAGTGCACAGATGGAGGCCATCTCCACCAGGCCTTCATACAGACTGGGCTTCACCACTGAGTCGTCCTTATAACTGCAAAGACAGAAGGAAATGCCACAGAGGACATAGGGATAAAGAGGGGAAAAGTCGAGGCAATGTATACAAAGTTTAAGAAAAAGGAAGGAGAGATAAATTGTGGGCTCTCATAATCCATAAACTGTCAGGGTTAAGGGTTAAGTGTTAAAGGTTAAAGACACTCACACTTCCCCTTCAGGGGCGTAAGTAGATCCAGTCACTGTGAACTCGTTCAGGCTGCAGCGCTCCCCGGACACACTGTCTACGACAAACAGCTACACACATAGACGGATAATGCAGTAGTTGATTTGTTCAATCATATTAGGAGATCACATCTGAGGTTAGGTCCACATTCCAACAGGCCATTCCACCTCATGAGCCGTAGGTTTTTAAATCAAAACAGACACTTCATCCAGGAAGACTTACTGTGATCAAACAGGACATTCTAAAATGTATGTACCAGCGTTTCAACAAGTTCAATCTTAGACTTGTTATGACCACATGAAATGTAATACCCATTCGTGTTAGTTTTAACATCGTACGCACTGTCCCGGTACGCTCTGTCCTCATTGGGAACAACTGGAAAAAAAGACGCTGGCACTCTGAAAAAGGCTCTACTTGGACACAGGCCCTTACACCTTTTTAGGCCTAAATTTCAGACAATTAAGTTCAAGATTTGTTAAGACCCACACAAACCCTGTGTATCTTATTGTTTAACACCAATGCTACTTCTCACCACTGATGCAAAGGAATTTTTTTTAAATAGTGAAAATGTCTCAAATAGAAGCCTGCTTTCAATTAACATCTGTGGCCAGCAAATAAAGACCGAGTAGAAAATATTTAAGGGAGTTAGTGACATCTTCATCGGTGTAACAGCAGAGTCTGTAGCTTCTCTTTTTAACACTAACTTGACTAATTATTTCCTGTTGCTTTTGATTGGCTGATTTATCATTTGATGTTAAGATGCTGTCGATGAAACTCAACACTTCCTGTAAATGTTTTATGTTAAAAGTAATCCAGCTGTTGTCTGTAGGCTTTTAATGTGAAACTTTCTAGTAGGCTTTCAGTTATACAATACTCCTTAATGTTTATTTTTACCCGGCCTGTATTAGCTACCCACCTTTATTTGACTGCTGAACGCTGCCATAACTATAATACTGGCTTTTATAAAATCATTTACAGTATATCTATTTGTTAAACAGGATGTAAGTGAGCTTTCCTTTGTTAATCCAATGTTAGTATGACAAGCCATTAGATGTTCTTTTGGAAAAGCAAACTACTTTTAATGGATTTCCAAGTTGCCTGCTTATCAGTATGATGTAATCAGTACACTGCATCTTATCAATTGTATGACAGCTAAATGAGGCTGACTGGCCCACAAAGTAAATTTTGACACACGGTGGCTATATCAGTGTGATGTTACATTCCTTCTTCCATCTTACCCTGCAGACTGACATCTGGTTGGTTGTCAGTGTTCCTGTCTTGTCAGAGCAGATAACAGATGTGCAACCCAGCGTCTCCACTGATGGCAGGCTGCGGACGATGGCGTTCTTCCTGGCCATCCTCCTGGTGCCCAGAGCCAGGCAGGTCGTGATGACTGCTGGAAGGCCTGTGAGGAAACACAACAGGTGGACGATGGTGATGAGAAAGCTTCTCCATTCATAAAACATATTGATGCTGTTTGATTAGCTGTGCAGTTAGGGGTGCATTTCAACCTGCTTTGAGAATTACACGCTTTCTTTTTCTCGTAGTTGCACAGGTTTAGTAGCTGCAAAAGCTGCACAATCCTTTTGTGAAATTGCCCCTCAGTGTCTTTAAAAATGACACTTGTAGTTTTTGTAGTAACAAAAGAATTACACATGTTCAAGAAGTGACTTTTCAGCATGGATAGATAGATAAGATGTTCGACCTTCTGGTATGGCTGCTACAGCCAGCGCAACAGCGATCTTGAAATAGTAAACAGCTCCTCTCAGCCAGCTGCCTCCATGGACCGGGTCATTGAAGTGTCCCACATTAATGGCCCACACTGCCACACAGATCACAGTGATGACCTGCAGGTTAAAACAAGACAAGTGTAAGGTTGTAACACAGATGATAAAGTTTGAGTCCAAAGTGACCATTAAAACACACAGGTCCTTGCCTTAGAAAGCTGTTCTCCAAACTGGTCTAGCTTCTTTTGCAGTGGGGTCCTTTCAGGGTCGGTGGCGGCCATCTCATCTCGGATTTTCCCAATCTCTGTCTGCACCCCGGTTGCCACAGCAACCCCGATGGCACGGCCCGCTGCGATGTTGGTACCCTGGACAAAGTTGTGAACTTTACTGTGAAACTCGTTTCCATCATAACAAACTGAGACATAGTAACACACAGTTTCTGTAGTTCAGCAGTGTGAGTGTCATCTGTATGCATCTATTTTATATGCTGCCAAAGCAGACAAAGGGAAATGTGATAAGTGTGCTGATTTCTTTCCCTCCCATGACAGCAGATTTCCTCCACATCAGTGTGAAGCAGCACTCAGAGAAGCACAGCACTGCTCTGAAGGCATTACCGGTTGGAAGAAGTTATTCATTATTAACAGATAGTCGGCTGCCTTAAAAATCGGTTATCGGTTCAAGAAATTGCTTTCAATTTGCATCCCAACTCTGAGCCGATTAAAGCTCTACATCACTGCAACTCGTTTTTCTTAGAGCTGCAGAGCTCATTTTTTAGGTGTTCAGTGACCGCTGCCTCAGTAAGTAAACAATTAATATATTCGACTGAACACTGAGATAATTATTTAAGTAGAGAGGTCATGTACATTTGTACTTTAAGGATAACAAATCCTATGAAGATCAATGAAATAGTGAATTTGTTTGGAACAATTTTCAGCGGCAGATTAATCCACATTTGGTCATCTAGTGAGTTTTTGTGGCAGCAGGTCGGTGTATGTCCAAATAAACTACAGTATGTGTTTTCATGGTAATGAAAGAAAATGTCATCAAGAGCAACAGTGTCGCTCATTGAAATTGACAATAAAAAAATATATAGAATAATTCTATCCTTCAAGTATAAATACTTAAACAATTGGTAGTCCCATGTCTGTCTTTCTCCTGCTTTTATGTTGATTGTATGTGAATTAGGAAAAGACAAATATGGCTGTTGAGACTCACAGAGAAGAGCATGTTCTTCTTGTCCTGGTTGACGGCTCGGGGATCCGGTACAGGGTCTGTGTGTTTGAGCACCGACACAGACTCCCCCGTCAGAATGGACTGGTCCACCCTCAGAGTGGTGGAACAGATGGACGTCAGCCTGATGTCAGCTGGGACCTTATCACCAACTGCAGGGTGTTGGGAACAGAAACAGCAAAACAATCTTAATTTCACTTTTGTAATTAGTTCACATAAGGACAAATGTGGTCTTTGTATTCAATCCTGTCTATGAACTTTGCTTCCCTCACTTAAATAAGCCACAAGAAGTGGGCAAGAGGTGAGCCTCTAGAAATGTAAAAGGTAGCATGACAAACTCTACAGTTAGACATCATCTAATACTTTTATACGATGTAGATAATGAAGCTTAGAGCTGCCTTCCCTCTCCCTCTCCTACTTCCACACCATAAAAGAACAAGCAAGGTACTAATCATCAGCTATGGTTAAATAGCACTCTCTCTGGATGACAAGCATTAAAATGTCCCAGAATACAGACACTGTGGCTTAAACAAGCAAAGCACTTCACTTCTCCCCTTCCCGTCAAAGCTGCAGGTTGTGAACTTGCTCCTCCACGTGCTGCAGCTTCTCTAATAAACAACAGCATGGCTTTCGTAACTAGAGCTACTGTGTGCCAAAGCCAGCTCAAATGAGCAGTGTGGTTGGTAAACTAAAAGCCACCACTGCTCACTGTATCCGTCACATATTGTGGTATGGTATGACATCTTCATTAAAATGGATATACCAGACCGCACCTCCTGAAGTGTCTTTAACATGCAGCGGTGACATTAAGCTTACTTACTTGTCCAAAATGGAAAATTAAGGCCTATTGATGAATAAATTAAATTAACAAAGATTTGGACAATTTGACAAACAAAACTTCTAAAAGTTATCCTTTTACTTTGTTATAGTCATCTATAGTGGTTATTTGCATAAAAACACACAATTCGAATGATTAGGAAATAGTTGTTTTTTTGGCATTAGTAGTTTTAATGATGTATTATAAGCTGCTTAAAGCTAGTGTTAGGAAGAAGAAATGTATATTCATGTGAAAACATCTCCACCAAACAACTGGATTTATTCAAGTTTCTCACCAAAACTACATTTTACAAGATTACATTTGAACACATCATGATAACGTTTTGACGATTTAAACAAATTTGTTGTTTACTATATGGGATCGGTGACTAGAAAACATTATTGACAATCTCCCGGTCATATATTTTGACTGAATATTGGCCCCCAATAGGGATCACATTCATTTTTCACTTACCCAATCACCACAGAGTTTACTTGTCTCAGGTAAACGTTAATGGTGAGCCCTGACCTGCATCCTCTGGTTGCAAAAAGAAGTCTGATTGTATGTAAGTCTATGAGAAAATGACTCTACTTCTCTCTTGATTTATTACCTCAGTAAACATTGTAAACATGAGTTTATGGTCTCAATCTCTAGTTTCAAGTCTTCTTCAATACAGCATGATGTTCATTTAGTAAATGATGGTCCATTTATAGTCAAATAGACCATAAAGCAGGGTATGCTTTAGGGCGGGGCTACAGGTTGCTACCAAAGCGTTGTCCGGTATGAGAGTTCTTCATGTTATACACAGTCTATGGTATATGGCATAACACTGTTGTAAGACATTTTCACTTCCTAAATGCTTTTGCCAAAAAATGTGTCCACGAAACCCTGCAGAACCGTTTACATGTTGAAAATAGTCATCAAATGTCATTAGAATGAAAGTTCTGATACACAAAACAAAACACGCCTCAATGTCTTTTCTGGGCTGGACTAGTATCAGCTGCTCCAACATTTATTTCTTCTGTAATAAAAAGTTCTACGGGCCCTGAAGCTGACCTCAATGGCCTATCTGTCATATATGTGTGTGAACATCAAGAATTGTACAAATAAATAAGAAATGTGTGAAATAGTTTTCTTTTTCAAATACATTGTCCCACAGTCACTCTAAGCAGTAAATAATCAAATTAACGTGGATAAGTACAGTATGGGGATACTTCCTTGTAATCCAGTATACGGACGCTTGTGTCCATTCTTATCTGGTTTGCTAGGTTTTACAGTCAGAAGAGGAAGTTCTGAAACACTTTCATGTATGTTTCCATCATGAAGAGCTTAATATTATGACTTGCACATATCAGTCCTATAGTCATTTTTGTATTGAAATAATTTTTTTTGCTTTTGATTTGGTGGAACATCTTAAAATGTATTCATATTACAGGTACAGAAATGTTCTGTTAATTCATGAGCACATGGACATGTGACAGCATTCCTTAATAAGATCTTCACTAGGATACGAGCCAAAACCTGGCCTATGTGTAACAGAAGTGAAATGTTTCACTTGTTTCCAAAAGAGTTTTCAAGTGGACATCATGTGTTCATGATATTAGGAAACATGTCTGCATCACGCATAAATTAGGACAGATTGCTACACATCAAAGGTTAGCATTCTTTCTCTTGGAAGAGCCTAGCCTTTCATAAACTGTTTACATATGTGAGTGAGTCAGAAGAAGCCAGAGAGAAATGAAGAAAGACACCTGAGCCTTTTGCTTTCTTTCTACATTGACTAGTTAAAGAAACTTATTACGAGATCTATCAAAGAACTACAAGGAAACGTTTGTAGATGTTGGAGAGAGAGAGCACTGAAACATTTTCACTAGAGCAGAAATATTTGTTGTTCACTTGCCACAGAGTTTACTGGTTACGGGTAAGCAGGCAAGTGTTAATGGTGAGCCCTCAACCAGGACAAAACCGAGCTACTGTTCCTCCCGGAGAAGGGTTGCACGCACCGAGAGCTGTCCATCACCATTGATGATACCGTGGTGACGCCAACTCAGACTGCAAGAAATCTGAATGTGACCCTGGATGACCAACTGTCATTCTCAGCAAATATTGCATCGGTTACACGCTCCTGCAGATTCCTGCTCTACAACATCAGGAGGATTCACCCCTTCCTCACTGATGAGACGGCACAGGTGCTCATCCAGTCTCTTGTCATCTCCCGCCTGGACTACTGCAACTCACTACTTGCCGGAGCCCCGGCGTCGGCCATCAGACCTCTGGAGCTTGTCCAGGAAGCTGCAGCTCATCTGGTGTTCAATTGCCCCACGTTCTCCCACACAACTTCCCTTCTCCGTTCTCTACACTGGCTACCTGTAAGAGCTCGCATCCAGTTTAAGACAGGCAATGGTCAATCGCCAAGTCCTGCCCCTCAAGCCCAGACTGACCAATCATAGCATCAGCCAGCTCAGACAGATATCCAGCTCAATTCAATCGACTCTCGTGCAATCATTTCAGATGTTTGGATTTGGAGCTAGTCATGGTTAAACGTTGTGTAATAGGGATACTATTGGTTGGAAGGAGATGTTTCTAAAACTTGATGTTTCTACATAAATACCAGTGGCGGTAACATTAGCATAGTATCTTAGCACATTATTGACTAACGTTAGCACTTCTATGCTACGCTAGCTACTAAAGATATACAGATTTTTTTGTGAATAAGACCTACCCGGCTTTACAGGAACACTTTTGTCTCAAAGCCAGGTGATGTGGTGGTTCACTTTTACACTTTAGTTTCTATCTTTATCTTTTTAACTGGTTGTTGCTGCTGAATAAGTTTGACACCCTGGACCCTTCTGTCTGCTTCTCTAAAATTGTTTTTTAATTGTGAAATGTTAAAATGCCATCAATAAGCACAACGCCACTTAATATGTTGGCAGCTATTTTAGATTTAGTGTGCCTTACTCTTTAGACAAAACTTCTTAATGGTTTAGTCAGATTTTAGTCATTTTTATAGTTTTTGTTTTCATAGTTTTAGTTGAGTCAACAACTCAAAGCCTTTTAGTCGACAAAGTTTACAGTACGTTTAGTAAAAATGTATTCTCTCTTAATTTGTCTGCTACTTTTTAAATTTAGTCCTAGTCCTGTGTCCATTTTTTTAGTCATCATTGGACATTTCAGTAACTGTAGCCAAACTGAATTATCTGATGAAGAACACGGGTTGAATGATTAGGAATACAGTCCTCCTGACTGTGCTCATTAGTGATGCCTGGGTCAGTGTAGTGCCTAACATGCAAAAATATGCATTAATCCACCACCAGAACCCGACCAGAACACTTTATGCATTATAGTAGCACAATTGTCAGGACTGAGGACTGAGACAAGGACAGAGAGGTGTGTGAGTGTTTAGAAGAGAGAGAGTAGGGGGAAGAAAATAAAGTTCTTTAGTTTTTGTTTAACGACGTAGGTGCCGTCTCTTCATAGTCTCATCTTGCTCGTGGAAAACAAGGTCGACGAACATTTTTAGTCACAGTTTTCATTAATTAAATTAACTTTGCAAAAAAATCTGACCAATTTCATTTGCTGTGGAAATCAGAGATGTGGGCAGTGACTCAGAGGTGTGGAGACAGACTACCTCAACAGGTAAGTGACTCAGAAATAAAACATCACAGCTTGTACAAACACAAAGGTTATACTGTTTAGATGTGCCGTTCTGCAGAGAAACCTTTAAGTTGACAAGAATACATTGTAAAATCAGCCCATATTACTAACACAAACTACTAGCAGCTTCATTCCAAAAATGTGCGTCTCTACACAGTAAGTTATATTGTTCACTACATTATGTTTGGCCAAAAAAATTGGAAAAAGAATAGAACTGTGAGTCACATTAAACAGAGCCTCCAGCTCTGATTAGTGTCACCGAGTTCCCATGCTCTGGAAGCCGAATACTTTTACTATAGACAGGACATCACACACACACACTTGTAACCCTGCTTCCTCTCTCTGAACAGCCTGAAATAGCAATGGTATCTGGAGGATTCAACACTTTTCTGACTGGGTCAAGATAAAATCAGTCTGTTACTACAGCTGACTGTGTTCATTCAACCCAGCTGGACTGAGGTTATCTGTCGATACAACCAACCTCAACGTGCTGATTCAAATAAAAAACTCAAAATAAATTCAAAAAGCCAGTGCACCCATTGGACAAGGCCCCATCTTACCAATGGCCTTCTTTGACGACAGAAGAGCAAAGACAGATGTTTTAGGAACAACACCTGGAAGATGCTCAGAGGCACTTAGAGATGTTGATGCTGTTGATGGTTAGATTTTCCACCACCTCCATTTTCACTGGTCACATTGGTGACACATCAGTGGCTTTACAACCTTCACAATCCCCCAAAACAGCCAGAGCACTGAATTAGAGATACACCAATCGATCAGCCGGTTGTCAGCTGATCTGCAGCATGAGTGGTGATCGCCAATGAGTCTCATGTATCTTGATTTTTTGCAGGTCAAATTTGCACATTGTAGTAGTATCGCATGATGGTTTTACATCACAGCCACACACACACACACACACACACACACACACACACACACACACACACACACGCACACACACACACACACACACACACCATGTAGTGAGTGTGGAAGTTCTTCAGCAAGAGTGGAGAAGATAGAGATCACAATATGTAACAACTGCACGTCCAAAACAAGTCGTGCAGGAAAAACCTTCAAAACAAAGGCTTTGGCAACAAGAAGGTCCTGTAACTAAATAGTCAATAGTTGATGTTTTATGATTATTAGGAACATACAATTGAATTTAAATTTTCAATGAAAGAAAATTTACAAAACATAGTTGTGTATGCTGTCAATTATAGTTCTTGGAAAGAAAGAAAATCCGCAAAAATTGCAATCAGTGCATCTCTACACTGAATACTAACGATCTCTACATGAACTTTAACATTGTAAAACACTCCAAGTGGATCAAATGTCACAAGTGTCATTAGCGTACTGTTAAGAAAGGATTTATTCCAGCTTTAATGAATCCATACTACAAAACCTTCGCAGTTTGCTGCGTTGAGATGAACTCCAATCAAATATTTTCCATGACGGCTTTGTGTGCCTCTCACTGAGTTTCCATGACGACAACAGCCAGAGGAGAGGGCAGAGATTAAGATGTTTGCAGGAATGACTAAACAAAGACGCCACCGTGTTATTTCAACCACGTATAAACAACAATGCAGTGTAAATGCATTGTCTTTCCAAGCTCATTGCAGCACTGCAGACACACTGTTAGACAGCACATCAAGTGTGTGTAAAAACATGTTTCCATTACTGATAGCTCCCGTTCATATTCCTGCTTTTTCCCTTCGGACCACCTTATCTCTTTTGAAGAAGCCCGATCAAGTCTCTTTTCCCCCGATCCGATCCAATCCTTTCATACTGAGCATGTGCCGATATCGAGCCCTGATCCAATCCTTCTAATTTTCTGGATAATACACAGTGCACACTTAAAGTACATTTAAGGTAAGAAGTGAAGACAATGCCACCTCTTGTAGTGTTATTTGTCTACTTACCAGCGACCTCCACGATGTCTCCAGGAACAATGTCTCGGGCTCGGACTCTCTGGACGCTCTTCTTGTCCTGTCGGTACACCTTGCCCATCTCTGGCTCGTACTCCTTCAGAGCCTCAATGGCATTCTCTGCATTACGCTCCTGTGGGACACGGAAACATGGAAAGCTTCTATGAGTTTCTTTTAATTAATGGAACAAATGTGCATGGTTGTCCTCATGGAAGGAGTGACAGGTAGCAAGTTATTATAGAACAAGAGACAGTTCTCTGTTTGAGACATGGACATTTTTCAGCAGTGATTCAAAAGTGGGGAATGGTTCATGAACAGTAGAGAAAACACAAGTACACAGACCAGTTATTTCTGTTTGATTCTCACCATCCATGAGAGCATTTCAATACCCATCCAACAGGCTTTAAAAACCTGTGGTGGCCCTGACTGTTAAAACCCAAACTAGGTCAACAGGAAACGCCAGACCAAGTAAGACACAAACACCACAGGAGGAACTACACTGTCCCACATGTAGCCAGTGTCTCTGAAAGGAATTCTGAGAGCGGTTTCTTTTATTCAGCCTTCTATCATTGATATAAGCGGGGTGGACAAAATAATAGGCAAGGAGAGGTTGAAACAAAACCTGAACAATTAGAACGATCACGAAGGGAGGACCTAGTGCCGGTCTGTTGTAGGCATGACAACTAAACAATACGGAAACGCAAAATACTCACCTCAAAACTATTTATGACAGGTTTGAATAAATCTGTGCAGGTAGTGGACCAACTACCAGGATCCTTTTGACCCAGAGCAGCGTGTGTCAGTCTGTTGAATAGCCTAAACTACTGCAAGATATTGTATTGACTTTCCTTTGAGCCAAATGCTCTGAGGGAATTTGACACCAAATAACTTTAGAATATGTCTGTTCCTCACAATGTGTTTGGTTGATGCCTTTATTCACAGGGAGAAAGCTCAGGAAAAATATCGACCTGTTCCAAAACAAATGACGTTGCTTTTTTTCACCATGTAATATTTGCGTTCTGTGAGAAAGAACTCATGACAAGACAACAGTTTGAGAAAATATTTGACGTGCGAAAAATCTCCTGAAGCAGACTGATTACATTTCCTAAACAATCCGGAACAACATTTTAAAAGGTCTTCAATATTGTCAATATACAAAACTTGCACCACATTGTTTACCTGCCACACTCCCACAATAGCATTGGCGATGAGGATGAGGAGGATGACGAAGGGCTCAACAAAGGCTGTGATTGTCCCCTCCCCTTCTTCAAACCAAGCCAGGGTCTACGAGAAAGACAAGATGGACAGAAAGGTGAATTTGCGTTATTAAAACTTGTGTGTGCGTATATAGCCGGGTTAAACTAATGGATCTCTTTACACAACTACACAGTCCATACAAACTTGTACACACTATTACCAGTGCTTGTATATGTGCGTGTGTATGTGTTTGCTCGTTTCCTTACAAAGGAGATGCACGCAGCCAGCAGCAGGATTCGGACCAACAGATCCTCAAACTGTTCCAGGACCAGCTCCCAAAGTGACTTCCCTGCATGAGGACACCAAGGAGCACAATGAGCAAAGAAAGAATCTTTACTCGAGATGAGATACTGATGACCATGGAAGAAACACAAAGACAGAAGAGGATGTAATACAACAGATAGACTGATAGATCGCTCACCTTCTTCAGCTGGCAATTCTGTGAGTAAAGAAAGATTAAAAGATAGAAAGGAGGGAGGGAGGATGGAGAAAAGGAAAAGATGATATCATCATCAACACCGCTACTTGGATTCATAAATGACAGTGCGGAGTAGTGAGCAGTTATTTTTCTTTCCTCAAGCACTTGCAGCATATGATTTTTGCCGCAGCAGGACTTGATTGATAATGTGCTTGCTGATACTTGAACATGATGCAGCTATACAGGACATCTTTTACTGAAAACACAATATATGATGCAGGGCAGCGAAATACTTTGAATGGTGGACCATGCACAGACAGATAGAGGGAGTTAAAAAAGGTGACTGTGTAGTTGTTAACTACACTGCAAGACAACCTTGTGTGCCTTAGAAAATAACTACAACACTAAGCTGTTTAACATTTGATATTACAGTAGTTTACTGGTGTACACACATATTTAAAAAGTATTTCTGTATCTGCTGCTCTAAAATGGGATGAAAATGAATCCAATATATTTTAACCAGTAATAGTGTATTGTCTAGGTGTTCATTTAAAATATTGGCTATTTTGTAGAAATCTGTAAATTAGTAAAGTTAAAACAGGCAGAAATTGCCAAATATTGGCTTGAGGGCCCACTTCAAGATTACGATGCAAATGTAAGATATAAATCTGTCTAATATTAATATGTAACAAACAGAACAGAAATAAATGGAAAAAGATTGGTTCCTGTGCCAAGAGGTTGAGACAGAGATACTTTCACTAAATTTAGTTTAGACTACAACTAGTATTTAAACTAGGATGTGCATTTATTAGAAAGATGCTCAAGCCATATTCTTGTTTAATTTTTTTAAATCCCCAGATATAATCGATGTACTGCAGAATGCACAGAATGCAGCACTGTACAGGAAATGTGTTTCCATGTACACGTTAACTGAACACGTCATCAATACAATGGTAGCAAATGAGAAGCCTTTAACCTGAATGTAGTCTAATGTTGTATGAATATGTATTATATTATGATAATGGTTATCATTGTGTTAGTGGCAGTAGTAGTAATAAGTGTAGTAACTTCATCATCAACATAAACAAAAGATGGATGAAATCCACTGCACACTTTAATTCTCATGAGACTACGGTGAATAGATAGATACTTTATTCAATAGTCCATTTCTTTTGAAGAAATTGAATAAGTGTTTAATGAAAAAAAGGAAAGTACCGTTGGGTCCCCATCTCTCCCTGGTCTTCTTCAGCTGCTCACAGCTCAGACCTGTAGACTCATTGACAATGAAGAAGCCCAAAACCTCCTCCACCGTCTTAGTATGAGTATTATCCATCACTATGGAGGCAGAAGGAGACAGAACACAAGACAATATCAATATCAGCAATAAGCTTCTTCAATACCCGTCAAAGCCTTATTTTAATAACTTACAGGGGCCGTTTGAAACTGGAAGGAAAGCAGTTTGTGTCTAGAATCATCCAGAAAGGTAATATGGGTTTAATACGGCTGACACTTGAAAATGTAAACAGCAAATATCTGTTGCTGTATTCAACATTTTTTAGATTTTACAATTTTCATGACAGGATACCAAATCAGACATGCTACATCAGCAGCATCTTTGAAACCTTTTATCAGAAAGCATTTATGAATATGTTGCTGGGTTTTATGTTTTTTAGCTTTGTTCTATCCTTTGGTATTTTTGTTGTTTATGATCCCTCTGTTCAATTTTTGTATTGCACAAAATGTATTTTATTCTGATGTTATTGTATTGCTGTTTCTGGATTTTATCTGCTGTTTGTTTTCTAGAAAGTACATTGTAACCTTGGTAATTAAAGTGCTAAATAAATTAAGTTCATTATCATCATTATATAAAATACTTTTGAAAATTCAGCAATTATGTCAGACTAATGTTCTTATTAGTCCCTTTTTTCATATCAGATATAGAGCAAAGTGACTGATAAGAGGGCAGTATTTCCGTGTTTCCACTCATGAAAGGTATCCTGCTTCTTCGATGAGTAGAAATGACTCACTGTTACAGCATGAGCTGGCTGGGGAGTCACACATACTGTATAGCCAAGCAACCAGAGAGACCGACAGACGTGGACCATTATCCACAGGGTCTGAGCTGGCTCTGAAAAAACATCATCTCCCTGGGTTGAATCCAATTACACAATATATATGAGTGTGTTTTTAGGATGTAATTCTCTGAAAGGCTACTGGGTCACCTATGTCACTCCAGACTCCATTTTTTTTTTTTTTTAACAATATCACATTGTCTTGCCCATTGACACATCAGAAGTACCAGTTGGACCAAGACCAGAGGCCTGTTAGTTATTAAATGTGTAAACGTTGGTTGACATCTAATGCACCCAGTGGGCTAGTTTTCACACATTTAGAGATTATCAAACGGTAATAAATCATGTGCACGTTATTCTCATGATCTCCATCCACCACTGTGACCGTGTGTAAGCGAGCGGCTTGGAAAAATTAAAAAAAACTTTTTACATTATTTAACGTTACCGGTAGCTTACGTGCTTCATGGTAGATCGTATATACCAAATTTATCACAAGACTCAATAACATGATTCGTCAGGGGCCTAAATCAGGTTGTACGACGTGGACCATACGATTATTAACTCCCGAAAATCACTTATGCCAATATCTGCATCTGCGAAGAACAACGTTGAGCGGCCGCCCCTGCATTGTGCACAGGTCATCATGCTAACAATTGGTTATCAACGACACAAGAATGTTGAGGACACTTCCGGTCATTTGATTAACGTAAGGCATAAAATAGTAAGGGTTAACGTTACACACTTACTAGCTGTTATTACGAGGAGCCTCGCCTGAATTCTGGGTAATATGGACGCATCCATATTTACCCTCGACATAACGGCAAATGTGCAAAGACACTGCTGGTGAGGCTTGCCAGCAATATGAAATGGCTGCACAATGAACTGGTTATACGCGTATACCTTAAGTCAAATGACAGGTGAAATAAGCATTACAGGCTAAAGCCTTCGCGCCACAAGCTAGTAGCTAGCTCGTGAGCTAACTTACATGGACGTCCTGTAGGTGACTAGCTAGCTAGGCAGCTAGCGCTACGTTCTAACGTTAATCCTCAGGAGATGAACAGGTTGCTTACCAGAGTGTAACGTCCGTCCACTGTCACTACCCTTTTAGTAAGACACGGTATATCGCAGCACCATGCGTTTTGGATTGAATTCCCCACAGCAACGAAAAAAGCAGCAACAAATATCTGAAAAAAAATTGGTTTTACAACAGGCTATCTAGCTTAGTTATGCCGTGACAGCTGCTCACATCTCTATTGTAACAATAACGTTATCTAATTCCCGAGTAGTAAAATATTGTCTGTTAAAAAACATTAAGGCTTATTTAAGGCAAATTATTCTCCAAATGTGGTTCAAGACTATTTTATACAGACAGAGTCGTATTATTACTCCTTGTCCTGGCTGCAGGAGTGTCTGTCGGTCACTAATACTCAGCCTACAGGCAACAGCAGCCAATACAAATCAAGCTACCCAATCACAAAATACAGCTTCCGGGCTTAACCTTCAAAGTAAACATTTCTGCTTAAGAAATACTACATGCCGTGATGTAATGTATCGTTGAATTTCAGGACAATGCTTGGTTCAGAGTATTCTCGACCAAAGGATAACTGACAGCTGTATTTGTTCCAATACCAACAGATTTTGGACTTTTATTTTAAATAAAAATCGTCTGACTTCTCATACTATCGCGGGTAACTCTGTCTACCTTGACGCTGCTGCCCCGTAATTACCGTGATTAACGGTATTTGCCAGTGCAGAAAACCAATGGAGTCAAGCACAAACCAATGAGAGGCCCGGAAATCAGACTGACGCAAAACATTAACACACCAATGTGTAGAATCCTCTTAAATCCCGCCCACTATAATCCTTTACAGCAGAAGCGCCCGCCTCTGATCCCAGTCACCCAGCTCTCGATCAATCAGCGGGCGGTGCGTCTGCGGTCGCTCAAATGATCAACATGCGAACCAATCAGGTTTGCGTGTTTGGCGACACTGCAGAACACTGCCCAACCTCCAAAGTGAGTATTTCAAAGATGACATTTATAAAACTCAGCGTCTGACACGTTTTTCATACACTGGTCAATTTTGAGATTTTGGTCTCTTTTTCTTTCATAACAAGAAGCAAGAAAACCTCCAAAATACACATCCAGGTGTTTATTTTATTACTTAGTTTATTTGCTTCTGTACATTTCCATTAGATAATGTCTCATTTGCATATTTAAACATAACATCTCAGAAAACTTGTAATACAAAAAAGAATTGTCTTAATCTAAGTAAATAACTGGTGAAGTTACATGGTGATATCTAATTAGGTAATTGTTTATCCTATTAACCTGTAGTTTCTTCAAAATGTATGTAATTTTACAACCTTTTCTCAGAATGAGTCTTTTTAGACTCTTTTAGACCCACCAAACCTTCCAGTTTTATTCCTCATTTAATAACCTCATTTGTATGCATTTTTGTACATTTTCAGAAAACCCATTATACAAAAAAAAAAAAGGTTTCATGAGGTCTCCCGTGAAACTTGAAGAGTACATTCTGTTTTTCAACTGCATTCTCAATGGATAAACACTAGCTCCATGAAGAGAGACCTTTATATTACAAGAAGTCGGGGCCATGTATGTGTATTATCATTTCATGTTCCAATAACCATACCCCCCCTTCTGTATTCCATCACTTTAACCTCTAACATAGAATAACTTTTCATGAATGCTGAACTCTTCCAATGCGTCCATCTCTTGGTAGCATTGTAGAACACATGCACTCACTCATTCTCTACCTCATGTATCCCCTGGAGTTGAGGGAGACTGTGTTAATAAGCTAGGACAGTTATAAAAAGACTGAGGCAAATGTATGTCAGTGTGTAGATCCCATGGGAGATCCCAGAGGGTAGGAAATGATCTGAGTGTGTAACACTTTGTCATTCATGTCTCTTTCACCATTTCACAGCGAGGTAATCCCTCACTCCATTATACATCACAAGATAGAAGAAGCCAGTATTTTTAGTAGAATTCTTTTTTAATCAAAAATGTGAATAATGGAGAGGACAACCTAGTACAATAAAAAGTAAATCCCTCTGAGAGACACATTTGTGATTTGGGGTGATACATAATTAACTTGACTTTTGTTGGAATTTGCATTCTTTTCTCTTTCTTCTTCACAAAGGATATTCACTCCACAGACTGAAAGAGAAAGAACACAATCATTACCAACAAAGAAAGGCAGACTTTATGGGATTGCCACTATTATTGATCACACTTAATACCAGAGGAAGGCTAGAGACATATACTCATTATTTCTAGGTATGATTTTTTTTGTTCAAACCACCTCCATCTACCTTCTACATAAATTAGTATTTGAGTATATATCTGCCATTAGAGGACAGATAACACAGACTACCCATATTGCTAGAGGTGGTGGATGACATAGTGAGTATAGTCGTTAATACAAAGTAAGCATTGTGTGGTATTTCAAATACTCTGGGGATACCACCAATGTGGATGTATGTGTGTGTTACCTCAGGTTGTACTCGGGGTCAGTGTTTGTTTGCAGCAGCAGGTCTCTGATCTCCTCAGGTGGGCTCAGACCATGAAGCTTTGCTCTCTCCCATCTCTGCAGCCTGCTGATACCTGGAGAGAGAGAGAGAGATGCTACGATGAACCTTTCGTGTGGTTAAAAGCTGTTTTTGCACTACTACATCTGTACTGTTCCCGATAACAATGCACAAAGACAGCATCAATACAGCTTTGTGCATTAAGATGACAGTGGAGGAGAGACTGTAGTAAAACATGGACACAAAGTCTGTGAACACTGTATAGTCTAAAGCGCAGCAGTAAGACTGAACCAAACTGTCAGTGGCGGGCCATGCATTTTATACCTGGGCCTTCACTGCTGTCCTGCAGCTGAAATACCACCTTATAACCACATGATGGCGCCACAGTTATTATTCGTTTCTAAGGCTGTAACTATGTACGTATTCGTATTACACCGTTCAGTACGAGGCTTTCAAGACGTTTGAATAATACTTGAGCATTTGGAAAATGCAGAAGCTTAAATTCAGGAAAACATAATGTTTTCTGCGCTCATGTAGGACAGTGGTTCTCAGCTGATCTGGCTGTGGGCCCCACCGTCATTCCTTAATGACAAGCCGCGGCCCAAAGAGATCGTCTTCGGATTTTATTTTCACATCTTGAACACGAAACGTACTGCTCTGCAATGTCTTTCCTCGTCTCAGCCCCGTGTCACGGTGTGTGGTACATCTCACTCGAGTCAGGAAACTTGTCAGAATGCCCATATTTGATTGGCTAAGCTGCATCACGTGATGTGATTCACAACGCCGACTAAGCCTCTGCTGTTAAGTTTCGTTTCACGATAGTCACGTGCTCGCCCACTGACCAATCACAGCACACGCTGTACCTCACTGCAGAGCTGCACATGGAAACTAAGCTGCACGTAATGCTGACGTAGCTATAGGCCGGCTAGCAGGCTCTGACACGACAAAGAATGCGCCCAACATGTCAAACTAAAGATCTGATTGGTTGAAGACTATGACAATCAACAATATTGTCCCCATTCACTTAAACTGCACCAGGATGCACTTGTGAGTCTGCAGGTCTGGGGCCTCTCTTCTTACCTAGAGACACAGAGGTGAAATCTGATTGGATAAAAGCTCTACTTAAAACAAGCTGCACTGGAAGCAGAGCAACTGAGGAAGACAGTAGCTGTGCAATGAGAAAATAAGATAATGGGAAAAATAATTTTATAAATTATAATACATGTCGTGTATTTAAGAAAAATTATAAAATAGATATAGCTTTGTAATTCTGTTTAGGCCAGCAGAGAAGGCTTTGCAGGCCCTGACGGCCCACCACTGCAAACAGTAGAGCCTAAGCAAAGAGCTAACAGTGGATTGAGGGGAAGTGCAGAGTTCGTGGTCCCTCTCTGTGGGTTCGTCACTACGAGCGGCACCATTCATGTTACACGTAATGATTGTTAATACAAATATTAATATATTGCTTCCAGATCCTGGTCCTTCACTGAATAAACAAATATCTGATATATCTCATTTAACTCTGAGCTGCAAGAAATGTCAAACAATTATATATTTCTTCTTTTAAATCATTTTGTGAGTCATGAGGATCTACTCTTCACGTCTTTATTCTATTTACAATGCAGCATTGTTACAGTAAAACTGCTCCTCCTCCTTTCCATATGAAACTTTGGTGAATCAACTGCACTATCTATATGTTAAAATAATATATATATATATATATATATATATATATATAATATAATATTATTAAATCTAATATTCAAACCACTTTACCTTCTTCCAAAGCCAGGTATTCTCCAGTGCGTGTATGTGTAGGTATGTCACCAACCTGTGCACGGCCCAAATCTCCAGTTCAGATCAAAGTGTGTGAGTCTCTGCAGCTCCTCCTCTCGGACCGTTTCAGTTTCAGGCTCTGCTCCAATGAAAAGATCCAGAGAGAATTCTAGTCAATGCTACTGTATCACAACACTGCTCTAACATTGGTAACATTCAACTGAAATATAAATTACATTTCAAAATAAATATTTAATTATCTTTTTGATGTTTAACAACCATTTTTTTATTTAAAGAAAACTCCAAAAACTCCAATGACCCATCATTTTCATTGAACACCAGATTAAGTAAACACTGCTTTATTTCTAATAGAGCAAGCCCCTAGGAGGAGCGCCAGGATTTGGAGCTAATTTACATAGTGGCCAAACGGTGGGATTATAATTACAATCCGTCACGTGATGCCACGGAGCCCAAAACTACTTTTCCCTATAGACTTACATTAGAGACATTATATTTTCATATACTGTGACATTGTGATCTTTACAGGGGACATAAAGAAGGCGTGTGTCAGTAAGGAGAGACATTTTAAAAGCTAACTGGAACTTAAGGTAACACAAATCAAAATATGAAGAATCATGAAAATGTGTAAAATATAGTTTAGTCTTGTTTAGATGGGGATTGAGATCTGTAGTTCATGTCTGTTTCACTAAGGAGACATTAGCTACCACACAGAACATAGCTCGCCCAAACACGAGCTCTAGACACACTGCTGCTCTTCACCTTTCTGCGGCGGCGGAGGAGGAGTGGGCCTCTTCTCTCGTTTCACCCCATTCCTTGCTTTCTTCACCACCTTGAATGAATCCGTTATCAGTCCACGCTTGGTTGTCATGGTGACTGATCTAGAACACACAAAAAGGCATACACTTTACTCTTCTTCTTTGCTGTTTATATAGTTTGGTGAATTTTGTCCTAAACACAGCGAGAGGAGCCCCACAACAATGTGTTGGGAGGAGAGCAGGCCCTTGTGAGTGATTCACATTTCCCCTCAGATACAGGCAGGCGTTAGAGAAGAACCCACTCTATTTAAATATGGTGTCATTTGCGTTGTATTCCCTTGGAAAGGCAAACCCATCTCCGTCAGGATTTTCCTTTTTGGGGTAAAATAGTCCACGACACAAACTATAATTAATATTTATAAAATAAATGAATCAAATGTTTCTCCAGTAGACAGAATGGACAAACCCAGCCCTGGCTCTAGGGAGAGCATTACCTGAATGCCACCATAGCTCTCTACACACTTTTCAAACTGCGCCAAGTCTATAACTAGTCTATAAGTAGTCTATAACTAAAATGCTGTTTTAAATATTTAGCATTACAAAAATGAGTTAGCTAGTGTGATCGTGAATGTTAGTTGACGGATCTCTCAACAGTGTGTTGCTGAGACAGAGAAGGGTCTCGAACCGAGTTACATTTCTCCTGATTTGTCTGTCTGGCATGTGAAAAATTGGTCCAATATTTACTTTAGCGACTATGGAGCGAAAGAATCGGTCATAATCTGTGTTCATGTTCATTTCTCTTATTTAGATTCAACACACTCAGAAAAGGGGCGGGGCAGTGGCAAAACCAACATGACACAGATACAGGAAACTGACTCTTAGTGGGGTGTCTCCATTCAGAACTGTCTCTGACTGTGCTAACCTGAGCGGCACGGTGTAAAACCTTGGGGCCGCCAGCTGCCAGTTGACTCCCGTTGCTCCTAAAGTGGTGTTATTGTCGTAAGGATTGCCTCAAATGTTTTTTTTATCTATTGCACTGTATTCACTTTATATGTTTATATGTTGGACTGGAGAGAAACGTCTTTTCAACTCCTCTGTATGTTCGGTACATATTGTGGAATTGACAATAAAGCAAACTTTGAACTTTGAACTTTGAACTCTGAGGAAAGGGAAAGGGAGGAGCGAGCCAAGGGGCATTCAGTTGGTTGCAATCTGCAACCGCACCGCTACATGCTGCCAAATCCTATACACTGTACCTTTAATAATAACTCACTATCAAGCTATAATTAAGTGATAACATGTTAGCATTCGCCACTGTCTGCTTCAAAACATTCACATTAATCTCTTATGTAAAGTTGAACATGTCTGGGCAAAGGCTTTACTAGGCTTACATCCGGTTTTAACTTTCAAAATAAAGCAACTCTGACGGCAATTATCATATCAATAATATTATATTTTACAGCTGCTCGTATAAGTAAATTATTATAAATGTTATATTACATCAAATTAAACTTAATCTGATATATGTTGACATGCTTCTCCGTAATGTATGCCGGTGTGAAAATTCATCATAATGTTAACGACTCTTGGCGATTTCCTCTTAACTTCGGCACTTCACACTAATACAAGCTATTCCAATGAGATTGTGATCTACTGCATTGTGACCCGGTAGCCTCTACTGACACTCCTTTCTACCTCCACAGAAGCTTACGGGGACTTAGTTGGAAGGATGTGGAGAGTTACGACAGCATTAACCAGTTATTACAACTTTACATCCACCTGTCAACAACGTTACTCGGTTACCTTCCACACGGCTTTACGGATTTACACCAGAAGAGTCTTACGTTGAGTAATCGACACTGAATGCTGTAGGAAACAATGCCTCATTATAGCCTCTTATATACAGTCTATGGTTAATCATTATAGCATACGCTGTAACGTTCTAATAATACGTAAACGTGTTTCAGCGTGCACAACTTCACGCTCAGCTCTCAGTCTATTGAACTCACCTCGTTTCGTTCTTCAAAAAAGAAAAGCTCTCCAGACGTTTCTCTCTGCTCAGTGTGTTTTCTCTTCATTCAGTCTGCAGCCAAAACAGTGTTCTTCTTCTGTCTCTACGGTAGACTCGACACTGCTGCGCCTCTTTGCTGCCGCCTGCCGTTCTTTTCCGTGTATTGCAGGTCGGCAGTGAGCTACTAAAGTGCATTACTATGGAGCCAAATACTATGGAAGCCCATTCCTACCAGCAAAAAAAAAAAAAATCAGTCCACTGTTGCAGCTAAACACATTACAAGATTGCTGTTAATGTAGCTTTGACAATAATATATTTTAACTCTCGATGAACCATGTTCATATCATAATATGGAAGCCCGTTTCCGCCACTGTGAGGAAAAAATACAGATCCTCCAAGTCATTATAATGAAATACTATCTCAAAATAATGACTTAGCATCTCATAACATTGACAAACGTTTTATAGGCCTATGTGTTGTTTCCTCACATGCGCCAAAGCAACAGAAGCAAGTGAATGAGACAAAGCTTGGCAGATCAAAATGGACACCATAATTGAAGACTACATTAGACGTGGATTCACAAATCGGGAATTTTAGTCATTTTGGAGGAATCACATTATATCAAACTAAGCCTCCAGGCCCTAGAGAGAAAGCTACGAAAGAACCAACTTTGGCGGAGACCAAATAAGACAGATGAAGCCGAGTTAGCATCCTTCATTCACCAACAGCTACAGACGTCTGGCAAACAGCACGGCTACAGATAGATGCACTAGAAATGTTGGATGGCCGGGATAATTACAAACAGAGAAATTATTATTAAATTATTATTATTAACTAATTATTAAGAATTAGTTTGACTCACGGGTGACAAGGAGGACACCGACCGTCAGTCTTGTGAGAGTTTGAGCCATGCTAAAAATTGTTAATATGTCACTTTATTACATTTTTTTAATGTTTTCATGCGAGACAATAACCCATTCTTTCTTTTATGCGGTCACATTATCCAAATAGCGCATGTTAGCAATTTGCTGCGATCGTTGTCCGAGATTCGCTTGTTCCTACTTCACAGACTGCTGGTAAAATCATACTTTAAAGTTCATTTAATAGGCACTATGCAGTACGTACTGATGAATATGTCATATGCAGAACGTTTGCGATGTTGACCACACCGTAACACTATGAATCCTGGTGTTCCTCGGCTCCCAGCCCCTATCTGTTTAGTTCCACATCTCAAACCGGGACATTTCTATCGGCCTTGGATTAACATCCCCGTGAAAATAGGATTTGCCGTAAAATAAATGCGGGGCATGTCCCAGGATCCTCATCACTGTTTATGTCTCAAATCTGCCTGAAGCCAGCTCTTACTGCCCTCTCAGTTCACTGGTCACTTCACTGGTGGATCATTTTGTTTTTAAGGCTCGAAGTGCTTCTGGTTCCTTACTTCTATATATTTGTAGTTTGTTAAGCTATTACAAATATGATCACTTTCTATCATCTCATACTCATCCGGATGTTATGATTTTAAAAGATGGAAAATCAGTTTCTTTTAGTGGTTTTAATCATTTCAGAGGCACGGTGTGGCTCTTTCTCTGTAGCCTATTTATTGCACCATTGCGTGCGACCTATCGGAGAAATAATTCTGATAATTGAACTGAAACCACCACAGTCAAACACCAAAGAAGAAAGTTGTAAAAGCAAAGAATGGTCAATTATGTAAAAAGCCTTGATTAAATCCATAAAAAAGAGCAGTACAGGGTTTTTGTTAATTAAAGCTGAGACAATATTGTTAATTACTAATTTAGTAGCAAAAAAGTTCTGTGCTTTGGCCTGAAGAAATGGAGTTAGTATGAAATAAGTGGATAAAAAAGGATTCCAACTGTGAATTAAGTATTTCTCCAAGGTAGTTTTGAGATTGAGCAATAATTATTTTATTCAGATTTGCTACCACCTTTATGGAGAGTAAGAATATAAGCAGTCTTCTAAACTAAAGGAATGATGCCTGAGGTGATACTAAGATTGAAAATAGGAGTTAGATACTCAGAAATTAGCTGTGCGCAGGATTTCAATGAAGTTACACTTTAAAGATAATGTAACAGGACGGTACGGAGGACACAGAAATTAGTGGCAGTCCAGCAATCAGAGGCAGAGTCAATTCTGCAGGTTTTTAAGGGTATTTAATTAAACAAACTTCAAGAAACCCAAAACAGAAAACCTCTATCACCAAAACAGAAAATATTAACTATTTCAGCCGGGCCGCTAGCCGACTTATCGTGCTCAACTTTCTCCACCCTGGAGACCTTAGGGAGACACCACACTCCTCCTCTAGCAGCATGGTCTCTCTGATTAGCTTCCCTGCTTGACCTTTGTTCATCTCCCTGATGAGGAGATCAGCTCCAGGTGTGTCTCTTCCCACACCTGATCTCAATGCTCTCCTGAAGGAGTGGGTGGAGCCTTCTGGCTGGAATGTAGATTCCAGCAACTACCCTGCCCCTCAGCCCCTTACAATAGATATCACTTTGAAACTTCCCCATTCGATTACTTACATTAAACCATTTTGTTCCTGACTTATTAAAGGGTGCATGCTTATGTAAAACATGGCTAGAAACATTCGTAAAATAAATTAATAATAATTTCAGGATCAGGGATTTTGAGAGTACAGGTCCAATGTCCTGGTCATCGAAATGTTTTTTCTGATCATTATATGTGGGAATTAGTTTTCCTCTGTTTCACAATTCTAACGCAAACAATGAGGCAATGGTCACTGACACCAAGGTCAAAAACCCCACAGGCAGAATATGTGGTCATATTAATTCAATTATGCTTGACTTGGAGGGATCTTTCAGGTTGGGGTGAGTAGGATGAGAAATTAGTTTTGTAAAATTGAGATTGTAAAAAAGTGAAATTGAGATTGCCAAGGATAATCACCTCATGATCAGGCAGTGGCCGTTCTCTCTGCTGATTCTCTTTAGGACATTCTCACTGTAAACAATGCCAATGACTTACTACAGGCTTACTATTATAGAATGAATGCCTGCTGCGTATCAGTTTAACATTCAGCATACTGTAAGGACAGCTTGGAGGCTCCACAATAGAAGATAATAAGGAAATATTGTTCTTGCTATAGAAAGCTGAAGTGAAACCATAAAGGTTTCATTTCCACATTTAAGAAAATTCAAATTCACTGCCATTCAAATCACACTGACATCTGTATTAACCCAAATGACCCCCCAAACATCCAGCCTTAAATAAGAACCTGCTCAACAGACTGCCGTGTCCAGATAATGATGGCAATTAAAGGAAAGTTAGTTTTTTATATGTTTTAAGCAGTTAAATGAACACCATTTTTTGTGTATGCACTTTTAGGTTACGTCAGCAGTCCAACAGAAGAGACTGCCTGTCCTGCTGAATGGCAGAGACCTTTCAAAGTCCTTTCAAAATAAACTTCAGTCTCCACAGGAAGTTAGGTTTAGGCCACAGAACTATTAGATAAGTTGAGGAAAAGAGCGTGGTTGACAGTACTTGACTGACTAACGACTGATGTGACAAAATGTTAACATTTACTTTTAGTTTTAAAAGGGACCCGAACAACTGTGTCCTGCAGGAGAGTCCTGTGCTTGTTTGACCCATCCACCTTCCTCCCATCCCGCGTGGACTACGTCTCTCTGAACACTACGTCAGCTGCTCTGACCGCTTAATAATGATGTGTGTTGGTTTACATTGGAGTTAGTTCAAAGCCTGAAGCGTCTCATAGACACTAAAGGAAGCCTCGGTGCTTCGGTATCAGACGCCGAGGGGCACTGAGCGTCAGTAGTTGACGAGTTGGGAGTGAGAGTGGGTCCAAAGACCGGTTTATAATCCCAGACTTTCCCCTCACTATTGCCCAGCAGCTGGGAAGCAAGACACAGGAACTTCCTGGGTATTGAGGAGTGTTTTTGCAAACTGTAACCTACGCTGTACATGTAGTGCCACCAGGCAAACTCACTGCTAACCTTTGCCTTACTGCGCAAATCAAGAAAAGAGCAGATTCCATACTGAAACAGCTGTTCACTTGCAGCCTTTACCAATTGGTTAAGAGTAGAGAGGAGTCCGCAGTCAATGACAGTATAGAAATATAAATATATCAACAAAATATGTCTTTCAAACTGTGTGAATCACCGAAACTACAAGAGGTCCTTGAGCATACAGTAATAAATGAGCACAAACACTATTGATGGGTCCATTGGTTTGTAGTTTTTAAAATAATCCATAACTACTGATTTATGATTTAAAGCACAAATATATTTGTTTTAATCCAGAATAATAACTTAAATAATACAATCTTTTACGATTTTGGATGATGCAAACTTTTTTTTAACTTTAGACAGAAACCCACAACAAGAGATTGTGTTGAGTCACAGAAGTTAGTGAATCAAAAGCTAGACAGGAAATGAAATCAAGTCCCAACCCAGTCCGGTTGTGTGTGTGTTTTCAGTCCAGGACCTGAGGTGACAAGCATGTAACATACATTTCATCGCTGCAGAACTTCACCAGTTCTTGACAGTGTACTGTGAACAAGAGCAGTTTTTTTTTTTTATAACAACGCCAGCTTAATTTAATAAGAACAATGATAACAGTTGTGTTTCATTGTAAAAATAATTATCTATTTTTTTATCCATGGAGACAGCTGGACGAACAGTGATGGTTTAACTCTTCACCACTTCAACCCTTCTGTCTGTGGCAGGAAGACATTTACTCTTCTTTAGTCTTTATTTGGTTTCCCATTAGCTTCCACAAAGTGGTCGCAGGGTCCAGATAAAAGTGCACTGGTATGATCTTTGTGGCTAATGCCTCAATGGATGTAATCCTTACAATGAAAATGATGGTGATGATGATGGAAGTTAACCCAATGATGATGAGGATGATGGGTGACAGGAAGGCAGAGGACAAGAGCAACCTCTCTCTCTCTCTCTCTCGTCATAAAAATCAATACAAATCTTTTTGAGCAGTTGCAGCCGACTTCCTCAGTATTTCCCTGTCTCCCTTATCCTTCCATCCAGATAGATCACTTACTGTATAATCTAATCTAAGGTGTGAAGAGAAATGCCACTTTCTCTTTGTCTTTACACTGATATCCAGAGAATGCTTATGAGAGACTTATGGTTTTAGAAACAACAGTCATGTGTCATGGTTTTACTCTCTTTTTTTTAATAAACCGTATAAGCTTCTAAATTCACCAGAGGGGCATTTACTGATGTCTTTTATATCAGAGAACAAAACCTTAAAATCTCTTAAAAGTGCAGTGTGTAGGATTTGGTGGCATCTAGCAGAGAGGTCATTATCGACTTATCATAATTGACTGTTTAATGGAGGTATTTAGAGAGTCAAGGTGGCAATAGACTGAAGACAGCTGTGATTGAGTTAGTGTGTAATGTTATCTCCTGGATATAGTTTGTGGTGTGTAGTCAGATGTAGAGACTGATGGATGAGGCTGATAGCAGCCTTTTATACAAGATGACTGTGCTCTACCTTTAACATGAGGAATAAAATGCACTCTGAATCATATAAATATTTCATATGATAATGATATTAGGTCCATTAGGGTCAGGGTAGGGCAGGGGTCACTAATTGGCGGGCCGCGGTCCGGATCCGGACCCAGACGCCGTTGTATCCGGACCCAGGACCTAAAACCGATAGATAATTGAGAATTACTAAATTTTGACGGAGTGCTTCTATTTTAACTGGCACAGCTTTTCCAGCATTTACGACACTTGTTCAGTGGCCACACACACCGACACCGACCAATGCGTTGTAAATCACATCACGTGATGCAGCTCAGCCAATCAAATATGAGTATTCTGACAAGTTTCCTGACTCGAGTGAGATGTACACACACCATGAGACAGGGGGGAGAGACGAGGAAAGAGATGGAAGAGTCGGAGACTATTAAAGGTAGCCAAGGAAATAACTTCACAAGACAATTTCCAAAAAGAAAAAAGAGGTCCGAGACACCAGAGTCTTTAACCAAGAATGGACAGACTCGTTTAGGTGAAATCTTCCAATGGGCAATTAAAAAAAACTGTATGTCTCATTTGGACTCACATCTGAAATGAAGACACAGCAAATAAACCTAAGAGCCTAATATGATTAGAATCCTGACACATGAATTCTCTCTCCAACAATGATGTAAACAGAGAGAATAGAGCTGAAACAAGTGGTTTAATAACCACAGATAAAGTCCCTGCACACAAATTTCTCTTGTTAGAAGATGAGAAAAATATAATATGGTGGCTTTTTTGATTGGCATCACTTCACAACTGAATGAACTGAATTTAAAGCTGCAGGACAATTCAGTGAAATTAATTTTATTTCAAGATGCATATTTTTCAAAAGCTTTGTTATTTAATTTATTCTTTAATCCAGCCCTTATTTTACTTGAAATGAGAAGAACATTTATTTATGTATTTCTATGTATTATTTATAATCCATCCAGTTAAATTTGAAAACTGAGAATAATAATTGTTAAAATATAATTGATGTGTACTTTCTTTATTTGATTTGACAGTTGTTGACGTTACTACTGCTAGACTTCTTGAATATATATATATATATATATATATATATATATATATATATATAGATATATACTGTATATTACTAAATAGTGCAAGTTAGATATTATTGTAATGTTCCAGACCTTTGCACGAGGAGATTTTGTCAATCTGGACCTTTTGAAAATTAAATTGAATACCCCTGGTGTAGGGGATCTGTGTCCTTGTTTTGGATTGGGTCTTCTCTTTATTTGAAAAAGAACTTTCGAAGACCTCTCGTTACCAGCCTAACCATATCACAAAGAAATCTGAAATCAGATTTGAGACTGATCACACAGTTTATGTCCTTCCTTTAATCTAGAAACTCAGAATGCTGTGCACAAATCTTGACCATGAACATCCACGGTGTGCTGAGCAGAAGGAAGGAGGGAGACTTTGAGGAGTGGTTTAGCTAATCGGGTGGGGCAGAGAGTCAGAGATAAACGAGAGAGAGAGGAGGCAGAAAGAGACGGGCAGAGTGGGTGAAGAGAGAGACATAGAGAAAAGAGAGAGAGAAAGCTGTTTACTTGTTGACCTGTTAGTCAACATCATACATGAAGTCACAGGAAGAGAGCATTACCTGAAGACCGGTTTCCATGAAGAAGAAGAGATACAGCTCTTGGATATCTGGATACAGCTCTCAGCGTTGGACCTAAAACATCCATTTCTCTTTTTTCCCAACACAAAATAAGAATGAAGACTTCAGCCACAATTGGGGACCGACATCTGTATTTGCTGTAGCACACACACCAACAGCTGCTTCATTTGGAGTTCAGTTTCAGCCTTTATATCCATAATCCATACGCAGTGTAATTTAAATTTTCTTCATATTTCTGTAATTTGCTTTATATTCCTACCGCATACAGAAAATACACAAACACAAGCTTTCTTTGTTTTTACTCACACACATACAGCTAAGATGTGGTCTTGTATAAAAGACTTCTTCACCTATGAAACCACAAAGTCAGTGGTAGTGAAGAGCTGGACCATCGGCATCATCAACCGTGTCGTCCAACTCCTCATCATCACTTACTTCATCGGGTGAGTATTTCCCTTCATTCTGGTGTATTTTAGGTTAATGCACTATTTAATTTGGCCTGGTTGGATCACGCATATATCTTTTGTGTTTATGTAGAGTAAATGTAACTGAAGGTAGGGTTTTTTAGGTTTGATTGTATTGCAATTTCTAGTTAATCATGACAATGATCAAATTAGGATTAATTTAACTAAACTCAATATATAGATATATGTAAAGGTGTATAAAGCCTGCCACAGACACATCTGCTCTCAGTCTGCTCTCTGTTTTACATTGCAATTTTTTAACAATAACAACTATCTTTGAAAGCCTTGTGTTAACAAATTAAGTGACTAGTAGTTTCCTAGTTTCCCTTTAGGTTCTGTGAGTGGGCAGTCTGTAAAAAAATAACGTGACATTCTTAACCGCAGTCTAAACTTGGCATGCAACTGTCAGGGCTTGTTCACTTTGAGATCTTCTTCCAGTAGTAACTCCTATACAGCACCGAGTTAACTATTAGCAATTAGCATATCTCATATCATCTCACTTACCAGTTGTTGACAATCACATGGCATAGCTGAGGCTCTCAAAGCCGCCACATACTGTAGTGTGTCACGGTTTTATCCGTCCTTTGACAGTACTGTCTGAATGTGTGTCTGCATGCTGACACATTAACTTTCGGGACGAATGCTTCTAAAGTGTAGCCATGGCCATTGTTCTGGTAGAGTGTAAAATAGCCGTTGCCCAGGATATTTAGTAAGACCGCACGTCGTCTTGCTATGCGTCTCTAAGATGTTTAGCATGTAGTTGTGAAAGTTTTTTAACAAGTTCCTGATGTTGGAAAGGGCGACTTGGTACTGAAATGGTAAATTTAGTCTTCCGACCACTCAAAGCTCTTTAACACTACATGTCCTCATTTATTCATACACTGATGAGGGGGGCTACCATGCAAGGTGCCACCTGCCCATCAGGACTATCTAACATTCATACAACATTTACACACCGTAGTTCTGATTATATTGTTTTCCCTGAGGACGCGTTGCACACATGCGCTATAGATTGCCATCTCTTGTAGCGTATCTATTGTAGCGTATGCCTTATAGCGTACCCCTTGTAGCGTACTCCTTGTAGCGTATCCCTCGTAGGTAGTGGACAAGTAACAAGTCCACTACAGAATGCGGGTGTCCGCACAGGGCCTATGTGTACACCCTGATGAGGAAATCACACACTTTCGGGAGCCATCTTGCCCTTTACTGCACAGGCATAACGTTTCAGTTTTAGCTTAATCTCACATTTTGTGTGTGTGTGTGTGTGTGTGTGTGTGTGTGTGTGTATGTGTGCGTGCGTGCTTCAGGTGGGTGTTTGTCAATGAGAAGGCCTACCAGGTGAGAGACACTGCTATTGAATCCTCAGTGATGACCAAGGTCAAAGGTTTTGGAATCTACAATGACAAGGTCATGGATGTTGCAGACTACGTCACTCCTACACAGGTATGGATGGATGGATGGACAGACGGATGGATGGATGGATGGACGGATGGACCGGTAATGGATGGATGGATGGACGGATGGGGGATGGATGGGGGATGGATGGACAGGTGATTGACAGTAGTATACATTCATGGTTATGTGCTATATATGTGTTTTCCACAGGGAGCTTCAGTCTTCTGCATCATCACCAAAATGATAACTACAGAGAACCAAGTCCAAGGATACTGTCCTGAGGTCAGTTACTGTCACTACTGTTACTGCAATACTAATACAATTATTAGTACATCACAATTATTAATACCTCTACCACATTACAACTAGTGTACATCGGCATTAAAGTGCATTCCGAAATAAATAAGGAAGCTAATTCTCAGTTTTGCATGTTTCCATGGACATTGTACACATTCATGCCCCCTCATAATTTTGCATTGCGTTCTGTCTAACTGCAATCACTGTTGCTAACTGTTGCTACCACTGCTATTACCGTTAACACACTGATTTAATCAAAAATACATTATTCACTTGTAATAATTCATATCATATCTATTTCAAAAACATGTAATATGGACATTACACTCACCGATACTAAACTACTATGTTACTGGATATGATGTCATTATCACCAGTACCATAATCTAAGGTACAACAAAAAAGAACCATTCAGAGCTAAACTGGATGACTGGAAAAGGATGGTGCTGTAGACAACATCAGGACCTTGGTGTCACCAAGAAAGCTCCTTCCTTCACCGGTGAATTATAGTTTGGCGTGTATTTGCAGTGTACTGCTCACCCAGTCCCAACAGACCCATCTCTAGTAGTCTGTTAGAAGCACATTAAGGCGCATAGAGCAAGACTGTACTGAGATCCCACAATATTATGTAACCTCTCCTCTCTTGCTGAGCATTTAATGTGAGATGTTTTCTGTATGTAGTTCTGTCTCCTCAGCAGCTAAATGCTCCACTATGTTCACCAGCTAGTCTCTACCTGTGTCTGTCTGCTGTTTGGTGCTGGGCAGGTAGTGAAGTGAGTCGGTTTAGTAGAGCTCGCTGAAGACAGCTGCCTGCTGCTGGAAATGACACTAACGAGGACTCTGACATTGAACCAAACCATTTAAGTTGTGGCCATAAAACCAAAGCCATGAGCTTAAAGACGCTAAAATCGAACGGCAGTTACGAGTGATGGCTCACACATTACGCACGTCATTTCATCCATTGTTAATGCAAAATAATTATTGATTCGGCTTTAATGTGTGTTGTGTGTGTGTGTGTGTGTGTGTGTGTGATTGTGTATATCCAGAGTGAGAAGAAGTATATTTGTAAGCAGGACAGTAACTGCGAAAAGCATAATAAGCCAGGAAGTTATGGTGAGAACTTCTTTCTGTTCCTTTTTCTTCTCTCATCATATTTGATAAAACTTTGCAACATAATTAATGACAACAATCTATAATTATTATTGTCATTATTACACGTATGCATATGTGTTGAATTCCTCTGTTAGAACTGGTATTTATTCATTTTTTTGGTTTTGCAGTTAGCATGAAAGCTTTTCTTTTCCTGCCCAGGAATCCTGACAGGGAAATGTGTTCCGTTCAACGCCACGGTCAAGATGTGTGAGATAAAAGGATGGTGTCCTGCTGAGATCGACACCATCAAGACGTAAGACGATACCGTGCATGTGATAGAGAGCTTTTGATAGAGAGCCATTGTTCAGATGGCTCAGTGCAGTGGAGTTGGACAGAAATGTGTCCATTGGTAGAAACCGAGTCTTAACACGATGATAATCAAAGAGATTGTTTGCCGCCTTTGTGAGGCTGGTGAAGATAACATTTGTTGGGAATAACATAGCCTCAAAAAGGGGGCACCAATATGTTGGGAATAACATAATCTGACACGGGTTATCAGCAATATGTTGGGAACGTAAAGGAGCGTGTTTGGATTACCAGCATCTAAGAAACTAAATTCTTGACATCAATAGAATTATTAATGTCAGTAACAATTATCAATGATTATTAATAATAACGGGGCACCACCCTGCGAACAGGGACCAATAACCAAACAATAAACTAAGTCTCATAATTAGTGTTCACTCACAATGTCAATAGTCTGAGTACTATTACACATTCAGAGTGAAAGTGAAGGTTTAAGTTCGAGCACAGACCACATATACAGCTATTATCACAATACACATGCACAAAGTAATCACAGACAGCTGCTCTCTAAAATATAACAGTTTATTACGTTCTAGTCAACTAATATCTAAACTAAACTAACAACAACTATACATTCATGAGCACGCTATCTAAAATCAACAGACTATTGAAAAGAGGGGGGGGAGTGTGTGTGTGTGTGTGTGTGTGTGTGTGTGTGTGTGTGTGCGCGCGCGCGCGAGCGAGGGAACAGCTCAGCGACGTATGACGTAGTTGGGACGTGGTGACGTCTCTCATGCGCGAGACTCAAAATGGCAGATAGCCAACAGGAGGCCCGGCGTCTAGTGCCGGTAGCCGTTTAGCGCGTAGCTACATTAGCTCAAAGCTATATGTGTGTGTGTGGATTAGTAAAAGAGAAGGGAAAGGAACAAAATGAAATAAAACAAAAGATTAAGATCCTCTGTGCCGCGCGGGAGTACGGAAGATTGCTCTCTCAGCCAGGGGAGCAAGAACCGCGACTCTTTGTCTCAGCCGGCGGTTCTGACCTCCTGAACTGATGAGAAGCAACTTCGACCTCACTAGGCGGCTAGCTCAACACAGATCACGGTAGCATGAAATACATTAGCTTCTCCACCACCCCAACGATCTCAGCGACCGTTAGTGTCGGCGATTATTAAGCATACTCCACGTTATAAAAAATGAACAGTACTTTAAACACACAAACAAGATAAAATAAACACAAATTAACTCTCTCTAACTCTGCCCAGACTCTATTTCGCCTTACGGTACGATGCACAGGCAGCGCGGCTGCGGGCCGTGGGAGGTGTTCTCTTGGTAGGAGAGAATCGCTGTCGTCTGGATAAGGATTTTCGCGTCCTTATGGCTGGAGCAAACGAGGCGCTTGGTGGAGAGTGGAAGTTCTCTCTCTCTCTCTCTCTGAAGAAGTCTTGCTTCTTCACTTCTGCAGGACTAAAAAGGGGTTCGCTTCGTGGATACGAACAAAGATAAAATAGACAGTTTGGTGAATTCGGGCAGCGAATATAAACTGTTAAACCTAGGATTTGGTTGAAAAGGGAAACAACGTTGGTGTGCTCCCTAGCTCGACGGAGGTCGAAGGGAAAAAGCATTGAGGTGGGGGTTGCAGGTAGTTTTGTAGAACAGTGGCTGAACCACAGGGGTCCTGGGGTGTCTTGGCTCTTGGCCAATTAGATTGCAGCGCTGCTTTCAGGTAACTTCAGGAACACAGTTTTTTTGGGGGGAGGAAACTCACACCCTAAGTGAATTTCTTCAGAGTTGGGGTTTGGTGCTCAAATTGCAATCAGGATGAAACCTTTGCTTGCAAAACGGAAGGCCTGACTGTCTTTGTTTCACAGCACATGTTGAAGCCATATAGTCAGATCCCAACAATATTCAAACACAATGCTGTTTGCACGTCTATCTGTCTTTTCTCTTCTTCTACGCTCCTCCCTTCCCCTCTCTTTCAGTACGCCAATGATGGAGGTGGAGAATTTCACCATTTTCATTAAGAACAGCATCCGCTTTCCAACCTTCAACTACACTAAGTATGACAATTGTGATTTTAAATATGATGATGGTAATGACAACGACACTGAAGTCTGACATGTTGATTTGATGATATGTCTGTATGTGTGCAGAGGGAACTTCCTGAGTACCATCACTAACACTTACATAGAAAAATGTAACTTTGACATGGTCAACAACACCTACTGCCCCATCTTCAGAGTGGGAGACGTGGTCCGCTACGCACAGCAGAACTTCACCAAGCTGGCCGACAAGGTAGAGTCAGGAGTCTGAGTCATGTCTTTGAAAGAGAAGTCAAGGCAGATGGTTTTCTGGTCATTACAATGACACAGCATTTCCCCTTCAAAGTTGTGTCAACAGTGTTTTTTGTTATTGTTATTGTTCTGGGATTTTTGGGACATTAGAGAGTCAAATCGGAGACTTTGCGTGTCAAGTCAAGTTTGTTCTCTTCTAACTCAAGTCTAAAGACACTTTTCAAGTTGTAAACGAGTAAGTTAATACACCAGACAACACAGTGACCCACTGGTCAGTGAGCCACTGGTCAGTAACCCCTGGCGTTCTGGCAGTTGACGTGTGCCATTAGTGAGAACAAAGCAATGAATCAGAGAAATAAAACATTATTGTTTCTGATTTTTGAATGGCGGTTATGTTCTAAAGCACAAATAAACACACACACACTTCCACAAAACCCAGAATGAGTAAAAATAAATGAATAAAAATGAATAAAGTCAAAGTAAAAGTTTTTATAAACACAAAAAAAGTACAAGTACACTCAGAAAAAACTTTGTAACAGTAACAAGAGTAAATATAATGTGTTACTTCTACCCCTGTCACACACTGTATGATTTTATCTGCCAACTACCAACATCAACTGACCCCGACTTCAACTCCAACGGAAGTCAAGTATCAGTAGTCACACCCAAATCATATTCAAAACTTTCTCTACAGTCGTTATGTGTGCAACCTGCCTTTTTAAGTCTTGCATGAAGCAAGGTATTTTCTGTTTTTCTGTGCATTCAAAATGTTACCCTTTTTCCTGCATATGAGACACAAAAAATGTAACTTGTGACTGATACACAGACAGAGCAACATTTCTTCCAAATATACCAGTCAGTGCAAATTAGTTGTATGTAAATGCAATTCCTAGGAGACAGGGTTGAGCACAAACACACTGATCCACGTGACTCGTATTTTGAACATTCTGTCAGGGGGGAGTGATTGGAATAAAGATCGGCTGGATATGTGATCTGGATAAGTCAGATGACCAGTGCAACCCCTCGTACTCATTCACCCGACTGGATGCCATGTCACAGAAGAACGCTGTCTCACCGGGCTACAATTTCAGGTAGGTATTGTATATTAGCAACCTTTTGTGTTATATTTCTTCAAACTCTTTTTACATCCCAACAGCAATCAATAAATCACAAGTTCTGACAAGAAAAATAAAAAATCTATGCAATCATTTCATTTGGTCCTTGAAGACTGGGTGCTGGATCCTTAATAAGATGATGAAAAAGTAAACACACTGCTTTTACAGAGGAGCAATAGAAAGCATCCTACAAACTGGCATGGGATATGCACAGCCCAGTTTTAGAGAGGGTCGTCCTTCAATCAGAGGATCGATCCATGTCGATGTGTCCTTGGGAAAGACACTAATGACTGATAGGTTCCATTCAAAGAACTCAACGAGAAAACTTGTCTTTGACTGCGGTGGGAAACTACTGAACCATTTAGCTACAAAGGCTACTATCACCCTCAAGTCTAACACCATTTATGGATTTTGTTCATTTTTTGTTTCTGTTTTGTATCAGGCTGTTAGAGCTTTTACCTTTGTGGTTATTTGCTCTCTTGACCCTTTGAAAAGTGCTACAATGCTTTCAAATGTGACATGTACATAATAATTTACTATATATCTATGACAACAAAGAAATGGGTCTTAGATGCACACTGATTTATAAGCTTAAAAGTGATTTATCTTAATATAAGACTGGTGTGATTTGTCTGTCTGGACAGGTTTGCCAAATATTATAAGATGGAGAATGGGACAGACTACCGCACTCTGGTCAAAGCCTATGCTATTAGGTTTGATGTTCTGGTCAATGGAAATGTGAGTATATATTAACGTGTATCAACGTGTGTATAACATACTTTCTATTGGTAACAATGAATTTAGAGATATAGATATGAATGTAGTTGTTTTGACACCTCAACATTGAAGCTTCTTGTTCCTTCTTATATTGTACAAAAATACATTTAATGGCACCAGTTGCCATTAAATGTATTTTTATGCACAATACTTCTCCATCTTTTTAAACCTCTTGGGTAGGCCTGTTACAAATACCTTGTTTAGCATTACAGAATAGCAGAATAATTGGACATGGGACATTGAGATAGCAACCTGGTCTCACTCCCAACGCCTTAAATAACGTGTCCTGTGGGAAACTAAAAGAGTGAGTCGCTTGTCACATGATTTGTTTGTCACTCGCTAGTCATGTGAGTCGTTAGTCACTTGGTGGTGATGTGAGTCGTTAGTTAAGTAAATGTCAACCATGCTGTTTTTCTAAATGTTTTTTTTGCCTAAACTTGATGTGAAGATGGAAGTTTATTTTGAAAAGACATTATGCGCTTAACGAGCATATATTGACGCATGCGAAGCTGACGCTAGAGGGGTACGTAGAGCATCATGTTTTAAAGCTTTGAAGAGCTGACCAAGCTGCGATATTTGAAGCATTGGTGTGAGAATATGTTGGATATAGATATTGGGCCTTATCTTACACCTGGGGCAAAGCGGCGCACAGTGCTGTCATAGCTACGTTTAGACTGACGAAGTTGTCATTTTCACGCCCACGTTGTGTAAGTAGCGCTTGTGTCCATCTGTGCGTCCATGGGCGTGTTGGTATCAAAATGAGGTGTGGTCAGGCACATTGTTTGCATATTGTTATCTTGAGGCAGCAGAAAGTGAAAGTGCTTCATTTGAAAACAAAAACTGGTATTTCCAACTATGAACAGGGCACATTATTCAGAAAGTAAGATGCGCCTACATAGGGAGGTTCACAACGGACATTTTGAGTGAATTTTTATGCCCCAATTTAAGAGATGTTTTTATTTGTGTTAAGGAAAACCCAAAATCCTCTGTCACACTCAGAGGCTTCCCCCACACATTTTTTCTGAGAAAATGTGTCATGATGAGTCCACGAGAGCTGTTGTTATGCCTCTTGTGGTGCTACTTCAAAGTTTGCGGGTCCTCTCCCACTAACAGGCAGATTGAGGCTGAAGTTTCCGTGCATCACAAACAGCCTGGCTGCAAGTCTGTGCATAATGCAGCCTCTAAATTCAGCACCCACCAACAATTGACAGTGACAAATAGTAAACACAGTGCCTTCCCAATCAGTAAAGACAATATGAATAAATATGAAAATGAATGACATCAATACAAGACAATTCTAGGGCAGTAATGAATAGTTGGAAGCTTCAAAGCTTCATTCATAATGTTGACATTCAAATTCTAAATCAACATTTGAATGCTGCGCAGCATGTCTATTCATTCTATTTAGAGTCGGTATTTCTGCACAGTTGCAGATAAGATCAGGCTATGCTAATGTTATTAGTATTATACTATTTGTAGAAATAGATTCCAGTGGTAGCTGTGTAGGATTGTTTCTGTCTTGTCTGATCCAAACATATCCAATAACACCAGAGGGTTGTAAAATCCAAATGTATTGTAAAAGGATTCATATCATGTTTTTATCAATTGAAATACTCTGATTCAATCCATCCATGATGGCGTTAAGCCTTTCACGAACAACATTTTTACTGCAGCTCACTACTTTAATTTTCTGAATTTGCCATTTGAATAGCAATGCATTTAAAGGGAATGGGAGATGACACTGATTGGTTTAATCTATGTTACGCCCAAAACACACCTAGAGGCTAAATACAACCCCTTTGCTACTTGCGCTTTACTTTGGCCAAGATCATTTACCGTTAAACTATCACAGGTGGAGTTGGACACATGCACCATCACTTTAGACCGTGCACTATAGATCGTTTAGATAAGGCCCATTGTCTCTATCATAATATTAAGTGATAAAGTAGCTATGATCAATGAAATTCAATTATCAGGATTCATCAACCTTTCAATATAAGGTCTGTGGTCTTTTAATTGAAGAGTCTCAACATTGGCCATTACATTACTCACTAAGGTAAACTTAGGGGAGTTAGGAGATGAACAGAAGTTATTTATTGTACTACATGGATAACGTGCTAGTCCTACCCAAGGGACCGAAGCCTGCTGAGATAAACTACAATTACTCTGCAGGCAGGGAAGTTCAACATGATCCCTACACTCATCAACATGGTGGCAGCCTTCACGTCAGTGGGAGTGGTGAGTTTTACTTATACTTGACACAACCAGTGTGAAAAATACTCTTTAATTTCATACTTTTGTGTTTTTTCTCAGAACTAATATGGAGCCAAACATTCTCCTTTTACCTCTGTTTTTGAGCATTATCTCATGACAAGTTGACCTTTGCTGCATAAACATCGGAAATTTGGGGCTACTGTTGGGTTGAATCTTTATATTTTCATCTCTACTCTTGCTTTGTTGAATGCTTTATGAACTAAGGTGATTATTATTAATATTAATATTATTATAATCATTTAGGGCACCGTGTTGTGTGACATCATACTGCTGAACTTCCTGAAAGGAGCGGAGCAGTACAAGGCCAAGAAATTTGAAGAGGTAAAATACCCGCTCATGCTTATTAGTGTTGGTTATCACAAATAGAGCTTTTTCACAGTAAACCCCTGCCTGCTGGGCGGTTTGATGAGAGTAGAGTTGCGGGTCAGAAAAACAAAACTATGAGCCAAAAGAGGCTGAAAGGCTCCTGATAGAGCTGAGAGGGGAAGCAGAGTCGGGTGATAATTCTCTGCAGCTTTGTTAATAAAAGCAACACTTCATGTTCACTAAATGTGACATTCAATCATTTATGTGATTAATGCACTTATAACATCCAAAATGGCACCATGTCTCCCTCTCTCTCATATACTGTAGGTGTCGGACAGCCCGCTGGATTTCCAAAGCAATGGGTTGTACCGCTCCCAGCTGTCACTCAGACATAACGAGGCCATCATGCGGTCCAGTGACTCGGGGGCATTTTCTATTGAACATTACAGCTAAATGGACAGGAGCAGGGAGCAGTGGATTGAGGAAGACAGATTTAGGTTGGGTTTCTCTCAAAATGTTTTTAAGTTTCATCAATTTTTACACATTCAAAAAAACTAAAATTGTTTGTTTGTCAATGTCAAAAAACATGTGAAGAAACTTGAATTGTTGCTAAGTTATTATTAAATGTTTCAAATACTCAAATACTCAAAAGCAAAAGTGTCTTGCATGGTGACACTTTTGGCATGTGATATTGGCTTGATTTTCTGAGCAGGAAAAAAAGCAGTTTGTGTTTAAAGGAGCATGATATAACATGCAGAGCATTAACATATCATCAAACAACAATCATCTATGTAACGATATACAGGAGGAATGTCTATGTGAACAGAGAATGAAGTCTCTCTCCCTCTGTGTGTGTTGATCAGAGCTTCTCCTTGCTTTGTTGAGAGGGAGGCCGGTACCACGCATACCTTTTAGTGCATGTTGGTGCATGTGAGCATGCCCCACTGGTTAGCTCACGGCCGCTGCTCTGCACTGCTCTCATACGGCGGTTACAGCTGATAACGCCGTCCCAACCGAAGCTTAGCATCCACCCTCCGGTTCGCCCTCAGGTAAACACCGTTAGCTCTGCAGCACTGTTGCCGTACTTTGTACTGTTATCGCTGTTAGCATCGTTAGCTACAAGCCATTGGCTCAGGCATCGCCATTTTGAGGGCCGTTAAGAGGCAATCGAAATGCTCCTAATGTTGTATCTTGCACCTTTAAAAAAGGAATTTAACCTGAGAAAGATTTCAGGTTTGAGCTCTCTTCGCTTGTTTTGTAACTTGCATTGAAACTACTGTAATGCACCACAGCTATGCTATGAAGGGCTTTGTGAGACTAAAACAAAAATAAACAAGACAAGTGGCATGAATTAATTCACTCGCTTGGCCTTCTTTATTAACTCTCTTGTGGTTTCTTTTCTGATAGATTTACTCTGGGTAATGGAGCTGCACTGTGGTTTGGTTTGATAAAAGCAGCCATTTTGTCTTGGATGATAACAAGCTGGATATAGCCACAGCAGTGATGGAGAGCACGCTATTCGTAATATGTACTTGTGTGTGTGTGGATGAATGAAAAACGTGTGTACGCGCCTCGTCTCACATATCTCCACAGCACTATGTGAGGGCTGAACACAGGTCTGGCAGCACCCACTATCATTCTGTTATGAGGGGAATAAAACACTCTGGCTTGTTTGTATTTCTTTAAACCAATCCCAATCGTCTTGGGCGGTGCTAAGCACAGGATGCAGGGACGGTGCCCTTGCAAAATAGATAGCAGATAGCAGTATGGGAGGAGAATCCTCCATGAGATACACTGTCAATGGCAGGCTTATACCCACAGTGTACATCTGATTCTCTGCCCTAACCTGATTGGCCTGGTTTGGGCCGGGTCAGGGTGCGGTTTCTAAAATTTCTCTCACTTTTGAATTGGATCAGGGCTCTATTATAGATCTAGTACGTGCCCAAACAGTCCTGTGTGGAGGTAATTATAAATCAAAATAAATCAAATCACCTGTGTGGGTGTACAATGGGTGTGTGCAGGGGCCACTGCTACAGCACTAGAAGTCAGGCTTGCTGCCAATGTATCTCCGTGGTCAACTGCGGTACTGCAACAGAATCATTTTCCGCACCGACCCACCTGTCCATCTCATGCTCCTTCTGGTTCTGAAGTTCGATAATCAGTCGGAGTCTCCTTCCCGACACAAACTTTCCCATGGCAGGCTGAGCAGTGTGATACCCCGATAATTGGAGAACACTCTCTGGTCCCCCTTTTTGAAAGTAGGAACCACCACCCGGTCTGCCACTCCCAAAACTAACATATAGCATTTAGTTCGAAGCCCCACTGTGCCTAGGGAACAGCACCACTAGCATGGCTGTAGCCTCTCAGCCTTGTTAAACCAGGAAGATTTGAACTTTCCCAGAATCTATAAGCATCATTGGCTGCAGTTCTGTAACTTTCCAAATAGGTTCTGCCTATATTTTCTGTATGGGCAGCTCTTACGCATGGCAGGCATGCATTCAAAGAAATTGCTGTGGATTATGTGTAACATGTAATTCTCACCCGTGGTTGTCAAATCCTTTGTAAGGTGGTCTTTGATGATTCAATTGTTCCATATGAGATTGTCACAACACAATTCCATGGTCGGAAAAGAAAGTTGTAGAACAATTGGAGTCATTGAGGAGAAGAATTGACCACTTGTCCAGAGACGTATTTATTGCTAAAACGGTGGCCAGAATGGCCGCTGACAAACCTACGCCACTTCCATGTTCTGGATTTGAACAGACCAATCACAACCGTTCATCTACATGCATGGGGTCGAACTGGGGTGCCAGGTGGGGATAGCGCTATTATTGGTCAACGTTGTCTGGGACACGGCTCTGGGGAGCCAGGTTTTTTAAACTCTGTGATTGTTTCCACACAGTTTAAGCAACGAACCAGAGAGACTGTCTTCAGTCTCCAGTTGAGCAAAGCATTTAGAGACTGACCTTTGTCTAGAAATATCTTAACAACTATTGGATGGATTGACATGAACATTTGGTACAGACTTTCATGTTCCCCAGAGGATGGTTGTTGCCTCCCCTAACCTTTCATCAAGCACCAACGTCAGGTCAAAATTGGTCCAATACTTGCAAAACTATTAACATTCCAACAGTCACTGTTATACCTTATACTTTGCTGCTTTTTTGATAGCCAAACAGTAGCGTTGTGTTTGTCATTGTTTACAAAAAAAAACACATCAAGTTTTTGTGTAAGTATGAAAGAAAAGCTACACCAATGAGATGGTCCAATAAACTTTAGCAGCACTTCTGGGGTTAACTGGAAGCAGGTTTCACTTTATTTTTGATGTTTTTTCATCCCAGTTCATGGAAACGAGCCAAATTGCCTTAAAAAAGATAATAATACAAATACGTAAAGAGCAAGAAAATATATGTAATGATGTAATGAAGAGGAGGGGATACATATATGGAAGATGGATGACACACAGGAAAACATGGAAAAGAGATTTAGCAGATGATGTGGAGTGAAAGGAAGCTGATTCAATAAAGATAGCAATACCATGTGATGTCTTCTCATGTTCCTGATGGAGCCTCTTACAAAGCCAAGCACAGTGATGTGTACTCTGTGTGTGTGTGTGTGTGTGTGTGTGTGTGTGTGTGTGTGTGTGTGT